GAGACTCCGGACGTCACAGCATGTCTGTCTGGCAATAACTCGGTAGTCGGTACCTACATTCCATCGATGTCCATCAGCGATATATGTGGTAGCTGCGATGCCTCAGATTGTCGAGTCGCGTCGTGCTGATTGATACCATCAGGGACGGGTCAGCGTCTTGTGAAGAATTATGGAGACTGATGGACTTGAAATAGATCTAGATTCTAGCACGGGCAGAATCAGTGGACAATAAATGATGTTGCAGTCTGCAGAGTTGAGTGGAATGTTGGCGATGTGGTCAGACTCTGCCGAATGCTGGTTTACTAGGAGCTAGTTGTGATATGATTATTAGATGCCAATTAACAGCCTGTTTACATGATAGTAACTGTTCAAAAGTTTCTTACCCATTGATTATGCTACCCATTGATTATGCATCTAGAAAGCAGGGATATATGCTTATTCTTTTTGGACATAAAAGCATATCGTGTCTGTATTGATAACATGGCTGTGCATTTCTGCGTGTAACTGTATATGGTATAGCACGTGGACAATTTCTTATCTGCAGTGTAGGCGCTTAGCACACCGACCAAAAATGACCAAATACGAAGTGCCGTCTCTTCTACAAACGCTGTCTGGAGGTCTACCATGTCGTAGCTCGGTACCCTCTGAAGGGGAGCATCTCTCGACCTATATGTACTCCCCCCCCCCCCCAACCCACTCAGTTGTGGAGTGTGGGACCACGTTATACGAGAAGACTGGACTTGGAGCTGGAAGGTGGCAGGAGTATGTAGTGTTCCCGTCTGCGTATCGTGCCCGCAACTCTCCCTTCCCCAAGGACGGAACAGATCTGCCAGCACATGAGGCTCAGAATTGAATGGAGAAAGGAAATTCGTATTCAACGCAGAGTATTGATATGATTTTGCAGCGCGAAGCAGCGTGATATTCGCACCCTCTTGGTCTGAGAATTCGAAAAAGTTTTGTCACCCTGGCAAAAAACGAAAAGCGATAAGAGCCCGACAAATGCAGGCACCATATATGTTCTAGACATTTAAACCCTTCCCGACACATCAAGGCTGAAGGTTGTATGATGCATATGTTTCTGTGTAGCTGTATAGAGGCCAATCGTAAGTGGAGGCAACTAAAGTAGCGGAACGGCTCGATTAGTTTTGGCAGGACATGTGCTCCGCCAGTGGCATATTGTTATGAACTACGTGTGCCTGCATTGGTTTTGCCATTGGTGGGACGTAACCTACCCATTCATTGTAATCAAATGCTAATGGGAAACTTTGCTGAACTCTTTTAATTAAAAACTTCAAGCCCGGAAGTCCTGATGATCAGAGCATGCATGCCTTGATGCAATCAAATACATCTTCATAACACTCATCTCATTGCATATGCCAGTAGACATTCTATTGGCATAGGCATACGAGTCCCTGTCTCGCAATTGTAACGCTCTATTGTAGCGCCACAGTCTTCCGGGTCCCTTCTTTTCTTTCCCCGATGGTTTTCCAGAGTCGGAACAGAATTGGCTGCCGCATCCAAAACGGCTGGTCGGGGACCGTCGAATCATTTAACTGAAATTTAAATGCGTCGGAGGCAGTGTTTGCCGGAATACGTCAATTGTGTATTCATTCATAGATTTCACCAAAACGCCCCCGCAGAAATGCAGAGGCCATGCCGATATTGCCGCCCTTAGGTTGACAGCGTACCCAGCTAATTCTTAAACTGATGATGCCTTTTTCGCTAGATATTGTTTACGCCACAGTTTCTGAAACGCGACAGAAATATTTAGGCGATATCGCGGCCTTGTGTGCATATTTTAAACGCCGAAGCTGGTCTGAAGTTTAAGCCATGCAACGCTATTAATTAAATATCAGCTCCACTTTTATCTATCCCCGATATTCAATTAATTCTGCGAGCCTTTCTCACTTTAAATTGTCCATTTCGGCTATTTCGATTCCATTTTTACCGCATGTAGTAAATCCTGACGGAATAGTGACAGCTTTTTCTGGATGGATACCAATCTACCTTGGTTTGCCCAGCCGGTCTCGTCTCACCCCAGCGTTTACCCAGCCTGCTCCCGACTCACAGCCTAACCGGCCCGGCCCCGACTCACAGCCCAGCCTGCTCCCGACTCACAGCCTGACCGGCCCGGCCCCGACTCCCCCTACCGTTTATCCGTCGGCCTCGCCCCTGTCGGCACGGTCGCTTCATCTCCAACCACGTGGGCCGCGGATCAGGGACGACCGACCGACTGCTAGACAAATAAACCAGCTCGGTGCAGACCGTGTCTGTGGCTCAGGAGGCCAGGGAGGGGCAAGGGCAGCAGGAGACGGGCGGCCAGGGTCGCAGGGTCGTGAGAAGGGAAGCTGGGCGTAGGAAAATCTTCGGACATAGCTGTTAGCCCGTGTGACCAGTGACTGTCACGTCTGTCACCCAGGTGACGCGTGAAATAGTTGCAAGTGCGACAAACGCAGTGTCGCCCTGCCACGGTGCTCACAACAGCAGAGTCCGTTTCGTTTTCTCGGTCGCCACACCACCTGGAAGGAGCTTATAAACCGTTTGTAGGTATATGTATGCATTATGTAAAGACAGGCCTTTAAAACAGGTGCATATGACGCGACTCCAGACTCAGGTGATGGCGCCGTTCCTTCCCTCGAAGGAGCCGCCCACCTGGCTGGTTAGGCTAAAAGCCCCTCCAGTGCAGCTCCGCCCGGTCTGATGGTAATTTAGTATTCGGCACACGCACGGCAGCATTCTTGTGTGCCAAGAATTTGGGGCGTATTAGCCCGCCAGGACGGAGCAGGAATGTGCTCTTACTTATCATAAGTTTTTGAGCAAATGCATATCTTTTGATGCTTCGGTGGCCTTCCTGATATTGATAGGCTAGTTGATTAGCTTTACAGAACTAGCAATGAATCATTTTGGCAATTACATAGATACTCAGAACGGCAAATGAACTGCAAAACAATGCTTTCAATTATTTGTTACACGTGCGCTCACGATAGTCACATGCTAATTTTGACATCGTTTCCTGTCCCCTGACATAACGTTTTGATTTCTAATGCTAAATATGATTGACACGCAAAACAACGATCGTGCACCTCATTTTGACCTATACGAAGCAGTGCATCAGTGTGTCTGGAAGCCACGTGGGATTCTCGACATGAAGCTCTGAAAATCACAGATGACAGTAAAAATCCCGGCCAAGAACACTATTACTTCTGTCGCAGTGAGCTGAGTTGAAAAGGTGCCCGATGTCAGCTCGATTGGGCTGGAGCGACACTGTTATTAAGTTAACTGAGCGGCTGTTTCCCCTGAGCCGATCACTGAACACAAGTTGGTCGGGATGTGACACGTGGAATTGAACGGGTTTCATAGATGTGGGGAACCGCCGAGTCACCGACGATAGATGCAATAGGTGGTTGGCAAGGGATTTTTGCACAGTTAACAATGAATAACCTAGTCAATTCGAACTCACTCAATATAAAAATGCATGTTCGGTGTGATAGATAATAAGAGTAAGAACGTTTGACCACATGGAGTGTTGGATGCAGCGATAGGTAACAGCTGAAGTTTGATTTTGACATGGTGAAATTGAAATTCCATGTTTGATAATTGGTTTAAGCCCTTCTAGTTTTTTTTCGTCTTAATCCCGACTCTTCCTTCCTCTCACTTTATCCCTCTTCCCCCTTCTATTCCTCTCTTTTTCTCTCCCTCTCCCCTCTCCCCCTCCGTTGCTGAGAGCCAATGATCCAGATAATTATCACAGCGTCTGGTCAATACAGCTGCCCGTTGAAGCCACGGCGGGTGGTCTAACAGCCGCCCATTGCCGGATCCCAGCGGAGATTGGCGCCGCTACACCAATACCCTTCCAGCCGGCCGGATGGCGCTCAGCGGCCACATTCAGCTGTAAATAGCGCCAGAGTCGCCCCCGGTCACAAACCCGATACCGGCAGCGGACATGCCGATATGATTGTGTGAGCTCGCGCTCCTCGGCGGGAGCGGAATGGAGCGCTACTGACGGACAGATTGGCCGCCCCCGCCCCCGCCCCCGCCCCCTCCCCCGCCTCAGACCAGGCTCACCACGGTCCGATCAGAGCCACGTATTCAGCGGCATTGATGGTGAGAGGCCTGTTGCTGACGGATTTTGAGTGGAGGTGTTTGGGTCCGCAGGAGCCGCCTGCGGCGGTGGTGGTCTTCCCAATCGGCTGAACCGGTTTGTCGGTTTGTCGGTCTGTTGGTTGGTCGGCTTGTCAGTCTGTCAGTCTGTCGGTCTGTTGGTCTGCCTTTTCGCCCGCCTGCTCGTCTGTCGGTCTGTCTATCCATGTGTCCGCCTGTTAGTATGTCGGTCTGTCGATCTGGGTCGGTCGGCTCGGGGAGGGTCGCGTGGGGTCGGGAGAATCGGGGAGGGTCGCGTGGGGTCGGGAGACTCGGGTGACGCCGCCAGTTTCCGATAGTTAGACGGCGTGATTAGCCGGCCTACCTCGTCTCGACGCCTATTGACGGTCGCGAGGCTGGCTCAAGTTAGACGCGTTGCCGTAAGTGCGCGGGCTGAGAGCTCGGGCTTTTGGCCGAAACTAGCCTTTGTGCGAGCGGCCACAGGCGCGACAACCGGGTCGGAATGGAACTTTCTCAGTCCGGCTTAGTTGCATTCGTTTCACGTCATACACGTCACGTCATGTAGCACTATGTTCGTGTGCTCGTATACATAAAGCGAAGCGATATCAGTCAGTCAGAACGGAAGGGCTCGATTTCGCGAGAGGGAGAGTTCCAGGGCTCAAATCAGAACTCGATATGTGAATACATTAATTTAGTTGTCACAAGCAGGAGCACCTGCCGCACCGCAGGTTTCCCAGGCTAAAATAAAGTCAGTGTATAACTTGCTTCAGTGTATAACTTATGTTCTGCCCATCTCGTGACTCGTCTACTGGTGCCTGGTGTGGCTCCTGTCCCACTGCGCACACCTTGTTAGAGAACATTGCGCCACGACTGACCGTCCCACGCCGTGTGTGCCGCAGCATCCTGTACGCGGACATCGTCAACTTCACGCCATTGTCTGAGCAGCTCAGCGCCAGCGACCTGGTGCTGACGCTCAACGACATGTTCGGACGCTTCGACCAGATCGCCCAGGTGAGACTCATGACGTCACACACTGCCATTGTGACGTCACACACTGACCAGGTCGCCCAGGTGAGACACACGATGGCGTCATGCACTGCCAAAGTTATACGTCACACATTGACCAGATCGCTCGGGTGAGACAAATGACGTTACGCATGAACTAGCGGGCTGTATGTGATGGAGCGCCATGATCCCAACTAAAAGGCCCGTCGTTTTAGAAAAAATTGGCCAATTCATTCACTGCTCTGGATACCTCAGAACAATAAATCGCTCGGCCTCAGTAATCAATAACGTCATTCAGAGCTGTCACATCCCATGGCCGAAGGGAACGGTGCCGGTGGGCGATCGTGGATCGTGACGCCGACAGAGCCGTCAAGGGCATAGCGTCCTTCCGCCGCGGGATGGTGGCTTCGACATATAGTTCCCGTGCGTGTCATCTGAGAGCGCCTCTCTCCAGCCGGATATTAGTCGATGCCGAGACATGTCACTTGTCAGAGTACTGCCGAGTGCCGAATACAGTTGCTGAAACCCCTGGCTGTGACAAGTTCGGCTTTGAAAATTTCATCGGAAAGCTGTTCCTAGCGGTACTTTTTGGGTGATCTTTGCTGGCATTCGTCTATAGAAATTGTAAATGAAAGTTGAAAAGAAAAACATCTTACAATGGTATAAACTGCAGGGTTAAATTGCGGTACGTATCTAAAAATATTTCCGCTATAGCTGGAGTTCACTTGAACTTTTCGCTTGGCTCGCAACAGCTGTAATATTCCCGGGATAATACTGAACCAGTGCCGTCTTTGGCGTCCTACAATCGTTTTAAATTGGACAGCCCAGTGTGCTTCATTGAATTAAACTGCAGCATAATCCTGGCCAAATTGCAAATGCCGGTCCATTCCACGTTATTCTACGTGATATTTCTGAGAGTATCGAGTCCATAGCCAGAATCTTTAGATGGGCATTGTAGCTTCTCACTTCGATCTAATTTCTGTTTTTTTGTATGCTTGCGCAAATATGATTAAATTCAAATACCAGCGACTTAATTCTGGTGCTGACCAAGCCAGAGCTTGTTAGTTTGAGCCTGAAAAGAAATCTTGGAAAAATCCTATTCCCGTGACTTGACCTGACCCCGAAATATGTAGATTCTAGAGACCTTGGCCGGACGAACGGCACTAATTCCTGTTTTGTATGCTTGCGCAAATATGATTAAATTCAAATACCAGCGACTTAATTCTGGTGCCGACCAAGCCAGAGCTTGTTAGTTTGAGCCTGAAAAGAAATCTTTGAAAAATAAGAATTATTCCCATGACTTGACCTGACCCCGAAATATGTAGATTCTAGAGACCTTGGCCGGACGATCGCTAACTGTTGGCTCTGGCAAGTCGAGTGGATGGCGGCTGTCCGGAGGTGTTATGTCAGTCTAAGAATTTAGCTACTCTGACAACAGCCAACGAAGGGAGATTCCAAAATAACTTTCTGGCTCGGTGAAACTAGTGACCACGTGGATAACATTATAAATCGTGGTCCCCGGTAATTTCCAACCCGGCGATACCTCACCATGCGTTCTTTGAATTGAGAGAAGTTAAAACCTTCATATATCCCGGTTGTTTGCATACGTCATGTGGCCACCACTAATTAGTGGACGTCACAACACGGAGCTACGAGTTGTGAATGTTTTCCACAAACCGGCACGAGCGTAACCATGTTTGTCAGAAGTTGGCGAAGCTTGTGGTGCGTTGTCACCTAGTGCGGCACGTTATCGCGTGCGCTGGCCTCCGGTCCGGTCAGGCGACCGGCCAAAGGGACCTCCGTTGTGGGCTCTCACTTTATAAACATCAAAAATAAAAATCTAGATAACTCTAGAATATATGTAGATTGTAGGTAGTGTAGATGGGTTGATCATTTATTAATTGTTTCGCATTAGGTCCTTCCAATGTTGATCCAAAGTTGTGCCATTCCAGTTTGAGATTATTTATGCAGAAAGGAGGCCTCTGACACACCATTTTGACGGACATAATCCGTCTCTGTCACTTTCCTAATGGCTGAACCCAACACCCTACATAGTACACTCCACACTTTCGCTAGTCTCTATCAAATGCTCTAACAGATGGACCGTTTTACCATCCAACTGAAGCGGCGGGACCCGACCACAGTCTCTGCGAAACTTAAGCGGCTGTACTTACCATGACCCGTTTTGATTATCCGCCAATACCACAGCGGGTAATCCGGAGCCAGAGACAGCCACTGCCGTCTGACAGCCGATGTCAATATGAGACGTCCTCAGCTCGATAAATTGGCCTGTCGCCAGATTGGTCACAACCCTTGTAACAGCTGTACAAAATGCAAAAAACCTTATCGAGTTTTATCGCCTTGCCCAGTGGAGGCATCGCCAACGGCACTGCCTGTTTTACGTTGCCCTTGAATCTTGATGCTTTGTAGGTGATAATTATGGGTTCACGCACGGTACCTACATTCTTAATTCCTGTAACTGTTATTATGCAAGCGTAGAAATTCAACTGTTAGCATCATCTAATCAGGCAAAGCAAAGTTTTCCTTTCATTGAAATCAACATTACTTATTAAAAGTTATAACTTCTTATTATGCAGACGCAGTTGACAAAAAAAAAAACTCATTTTGCTCACTCGCCTATCGCCGACGGAAGCGTTTAATTTTTAGATACATGACGTAGGTATCTACTATCACCGCCATCTCCTTACCGGTCCAAATATTTCTCAGGAGAACCAGTGTATGCGTATCAAGATTCTGGGCGACTGCTACTACTGCGTTTCGGGACTGCCGGTGTCCCGACCGAGCCACGCCAAGAACTGCGTCAAAATGGGGCTGCAGATGATCGACGCTATACGGTGGGTGACGTTGGGGTGACGGGTCAAATGTGGGTCAATGGTGGGCGAGTGGTGGGTGAGTCAGAAGTGAGTCGATGGGTTAGTGGGTCAGTGGTGCGACTTTGACGTGTCAGTGGTGGGAAGTGCGTCTGTGGGATGTCAGTGTCGGCCAGTGCAAGTGGGTCAGTGGTATGTCAGCGGTGGGTTAGGCTGTCGGTTCAGTGGCCGGTCAGCGGATAAGGGTCAGCGGCGGTCAGCGGCGGTCAGTCTGGCGGTGACAGCTCCCCCCGAGTCTCCCGTCTCCCTCTGATGGCCTGTCTCTGGGAGCTCTCAGCGCGGGCCGACTGACTCGGCGGCTGTCAGGCCGCCGGCGCTGACTCCGTGGTAACCCGGCGCCTGTAGCCTGACCCGGCCGGTGACCTTTCTGGCCGCGGAGTCTGACCACGCCCCCTGAGCCGGTGACCTCGCCCCCACCTCGGTAATGATCCTGTCGGGTCACCAGGCTCGAGAAGCTGCTACCCCGATAGCAGGGTGGCGCGGGCAAGTCGAACGGAAGAAAGGCAGGGCAGTGACGTAATGCCTTGGCCATTGGCTTCGAGTCCGTTGGGGTCACACACAAGTGGGTAAAATCACACCAAATACGATCAACTCACGCAACTGTCTGATCAGTTATCGATATGGGGTGAATATTGACATTCAATTATAAATTTTGCTTTTTATCTGCTGAACATGTTGTAGGTATGTATTTTATTCACAGCTATCCACTGCGAGTTATATAAGGTTTCCGCGTGCCTATATATAATTAAACTTCAAAATTTCAGCTACACGGTTTTTTGTTTTGTTTTATGGCGTCTTTCAGCTCCGAATCATCACCTGGCCATTGTATTCCGGAGTGTGATTCACACTGAAAATGGCTAGGCATTATCTTCGTCATAACGTAAATTGAGCTAGGTTTTTACTGGTGTTAGCTCAGTTGAAGTGTGTTGAGCTGACAACACTGGTTGACAACGTACCAAAACAGCTACCGCCACCGCAAATGGTCTCCTTTAGGGAGCTACAGCTGCTGTGGCGATAACGCGTCTGTCCCCAAATGCGACAGTCGCCGTCGGCCGTTCCCTCTCATATGAAGCTCCACTATACAGCCGGGTCGGCCAGGGGACAATGACCAAGGCTCAAAGTTGAGCCCAAAATGTTTCTATTCATTTCGAGAGGTAGTGGTGTCCATGTTTATGCAAACCTTCGAAAAAGGGTTGATCAAGACCTAGCCTTAGGTAAATCTAAATGCAAGCAAGTAAACTGTTTCTTTTTACATTTTTACATTATTAATCTATCAGCATATCATAATAAGGATATCTTTTATGGTAAGCGTATTCGATGATCGAAAAAAAGTTTGTGAGCAAATGTCAGTAGCATATTTTGTTGATAGTTCCGAAACAATTTGCCATCACAATGTTTTATTTTGTCATTATGTTTTTTTTAAACATTCAACGCATTTTATTGTACATTGTAGGAACTACATATTACATCCATGACCATTTTATTAAGTCATTGTAATTTTGTCTGTTTTACCTCTTTCACGATGGTGTTTACGCTGGCATCTGGAACAAACTTAAATTTTTTTGCTCATTTTTTGTCGTACCTTCATAATGACGTATACATCTATACAATTGTAAAATCACACACAAAGTCGAGGAGAAGGGAGAAAGTTCTCGAGCCTCATAGCACAAATGCAGCCCGCTAAGTAATCGTCCGTCAATATTTCTTCTGTTGTATCTTGCCTCGAACCTCTGTTTTTTTTTTGCGGGAGGGATTAGGGCTAGTTCCCCAGATGTCGGCCGGCCAATCAAATAGTCCGGCCAAGTCCGGCCTTCTGATCATTGCCGCGGGAATCGGACTCCTCCGAGAATCGTACGTTCCCCTAACTGGCTCGACGTCTTGGCCTGTTAAGCAATCTTCATCAAACAGCGTTCTCGTGTTGGGTAGACGGATGCTACTTCGACAGCAGTTTCTACTGAAGTCTTATGATCTCTAAGGAGACGCTGAATTGAGATCGAAATGGCGCTTAAATCAGACGCTTGCCTAAAACATCGAAGAGAAGAATTTTCAGGGCAGCAGTGAACATTGGAGGCTCAAACACGTAATTTCATTTCATACTTAGGTAGAAAAAATAGTATTGCTGCTGTTGAGGAAAACATTGATAAGATTACAGCTATAGCCTTTAAATATTACAGTATTTATTTCATTTGTATTGGAATGTGATCATTACCTCCTTGTTTCCTGTGGGTCGCGATGTCATTCATCGTCTCGATTCCGATTCCATATTTTTAAGACAATATTTTCATAGCCTATTTCCCACTCTCATACATTTCAGGACGGTGCGTCAGGCGACCGGTTTCAACGTGGACATGCGGATCGGCGTGCACTCTGGTAACGTGCTCTGCGGCGTGCTCGGCCTGCGCAAATGGCAGTACGATGTCTGGTCGGACGACGTCACACTTGCAAACCACATGGAGTCGGGCGGCGTGCCCGGGTGAGTATAACGACAGTGTGACGTCTGATATGACGTCACACTGGCCAACCATATGGAGTCGGGCGGAATGCCCGGGTGAGTATAACGACAGTATGACGTCACACTGGCCAACCACATGGAGTCGGGCGGCGTGCCCGGGTGAGTATAACGACAGTGTGACGTCTTATATGACGTCACACTGGCCAACCATATGGAGTCGGGCGGAATGCCCGGGTGAGTATAACGACAGTGTGACGTCACACTGGCCAACCACATGGAGTCGGGCGGCGTGCCCGGGTGAGTATAACGACGGTGTGACGTCTGATATGACGTCACACTGGCCAACCACATGGAGTCGGGCGGCGTGCCCGGGTGAGTATAACGACGGTGTGACGTCACACTGGCCAACCACATGGAGTCGGGCGGCGTGCCCGGGTGAGTATAACGACGGTGTGACGTCTGATATGACGTCACACTGGCCAACCATATGGAGTCGGGCGGAATGCCCGGGTGAGTATAACGACGGTGTGACGTCACACTGGCCAACCACATGGAGTCGGGCGGCGTGCCCGGGTGAGTATAACGACAGTGTGACGTCTGATATGACGTCACGCTGGCCAACCATATGGAGTCGGGCGGCGTGCCCGGGTGAGTATAACGACAGTGTGACGTCTGATATGACGTCACGCTGGCCAACCATATGGAGTCGGGCGGCGTGCCCGGGTGAGTAACGAGAGTTCAATGATTGATCTTTTGACGTCATACTGGTGCAATGATGTGGAGTCGAGCGGGGCTCCAGAGGGTGAGTGAGGATTTGGGCTGATAGAGGGCTGGGTGCTCACTGCCCAATGTGTTTTTGGGACAAGGTCTGGTTGGAAGTCGACACGGGTGTAATGATAGCGTATTGCTTAGAGTCAGTATGCATGCCGACTCATGCCAGTTTCACTTTAAATGCCAGTTAATGGTAACGCCGCATCCTTGCTCAAACGCGTATCCGCGGTTGGCCTCTAGAGCCGCGCCGGCCGGCACTGTCGAGCGGTGATCCGACCTGACCTCGCCGGAGGGTTCGTGACGTCACCAGCGGGCCGCCGTGAGCGGGACGGCTGAGGTCCACTCAACGCGACCCGGGCGAGTGAAGCGGACCAGCAGCGGTCGCTGCTGAGCGCGTTTTCCTCCACCCACCCCTCCAACCATATGCGTTGGTTTTACTTACCTTCATTTCCTTACCTCGTCGACCGTCTCCTCTCTCTTAACGATCGCCTGGAAGGTGAATAGGATATAAGGGAGAGAGAGAGACGGCCGGCCGATAAACAGCCAACACATGAGTATGGATCAATTGATGCCGAAGCGTTACGGGATTATCTAAAGATAACGCCAGTTAATGATGCCGAAGCGTTACGGGATTATCTAAAGATAACGCCAGTTATATAACGTTTAAAGCCAACATTGCATTTAAATCTGCCGGTCCTGCAGCTCAGTCGGTATAGCGTTGGACTCCGCGTGGTGAGAGCACGCTTCCCGGTCATAACAGTCCGGGTTCGAAATGCGACGGGCGTTTGACGTTTATGGGCCTGACAGGTATGCTTGCGGTTGGTGGCAGGCCGTAGCCAGGCGAAGTCAGTTAGGGGACCGGCCGTGCGCGGCTATGTGCGCTGGACTCCAAATTCTGCCATAGAACCGGAATTGCACGATCGGAAGGTAGAGGGCGGGGTCAACGCAACAAGCTTCGCTTAGCGGGGACTCTGTCCTTGTGAGTTGTGAATTCTTCCATTCAAAAGGTTCGGACTAAATTTATAACACAAATCTTCCACTTAACTCTAGGTTAAATCATTACAGTGTCATACATTTGCTGACTTTCTGGCATCATATATATGCTTACCAAGTATACAGTTCTGAATTCATCCCTTTAGCTAAGTATATCCTAATCGTAAGCGCAACTCACAGTATTCGCACCACACTGCTGTTCTGTGTTTTCTCCCTACGGGTCACAGTATGTGCACGCACACTTCAATGTTTGTTTTCGCCAAGTTAACGGCGCTTATTTCGCACATTTCACATTGCGTTTGTTCGCTGTGGTCTGACTCGGATTTATTTGACGCCCCTAAACGGCTTACGCTGCGGATACCCGCGCCGAGCCGAATGAGAAGCTGAAAGTCGAGCCCAATGCCAGCTCTAAGCCCATCTTAGGAGCTGCCAAATTGTTGCTTATGTGCAATATCAGTAATAGCTTCACATCTTGTAAATATAGTTTGCGGACATAACATAATTCTACAGACGATTTATGAACCTGAAAAATCATGTCGTATTTACCGGTGGTTTTCTCGTGATTGCAGCTGGTAACGCGTTGGCGATATAGAGAGATGAAATTGGCATATAGGCCTGGCCTTTGATTCAATGCGGATCTTGAGACAACATCCGTTTTTCAAGTTGGGTCACCTCGCTGACATATGACGTCATATGTAAATTTCTGCATGGTACACAAATTGGAATACAGCAAATGTTTTCGCTTCTAAAGGGCAATTACCTGGCCTGCCGCTGCAGCCAAGCTGCGCGCAATCTTACCAATTTCCATGTTAGTTCAGTTTATCCTAGGGTCTTGGTTTTGGAAGTGTTTAGATCTTCGCTCATTGTCTGAAGTTCGACGCTTTGGTTACCTGTCTTCTCCGAGAAGCTGAGTCGCTTGGTCTTCCAAGCGGCAAGTGCAAACAGCCGTCTGAGGACATTTAGCGACATTCTGGGACTGTTTTCGGGAAGGAGAGTCAACAGGCCTGTGTTTATCCTCTCGAGCCGCTCCGAATTACGAAAGATTACCTCCAGCTGTAGATGAAATGTTGAAGAGATGTCCACAGCTGCCTCGACATTATAAACGGCGGGCTCTCACATCCGGCCAAAACTGCAGTTGAAAGATGAACAGTGCGTCATCCTCTCCATGGCTTCTTACCTAGCTGCACATACACATATAGTGGAACACTAAGCTACAACCTATTCACAAAGAAAGCTGCATTGAAGAAAACAGTGAACATTCTTGAGGTCATTACGCTTATGTGCAGTGATGCGCGAATATGAGGGTGCTTAATTCCGCATTTTTCTTTTTTTTGAAATAAAAAGACATATACGATAATGACGCAGTTACTATATAAATAAAAATGGAAACGAAGGCACGTTTGCTTTAAGTTGTGCTAGAAAAGGGAACGATAGTCAATCAATATATCATAATGCAGCCTTCCATGGCAAAGTCGACGAAGCTTTGTGCTCCTCATTTGGCGCACTTGCCTGTTCCCATCTTGCCACCAACAACGCTGCTATATTTTTGTGGTCAGTGGTGCTTTCTTTTTCACCATTTTTCAGCACAAGCCTTTCATCTTGTGTCGAGAGGTAACTCACGTTCGAATGTTTACCAGCCGATGTCGATTTGTATGAGGGCTGCGCAACAATGCGGCTCTCCTCACGCTAACGGGCTGCGCCGAGGTGTTCCAGCAGTCCACTCGGCGGCCCGGCGCTCTCCCCCGAATGGTATCGGTAATCGGTATCGAATAGCGCTGATGATCGCCACCCGCCGGACATGGCCAGCTGACGACTGCCTCGGGGCATCATGTGACCTGTCCCGTGGGTGTGTGGTGGGATCACGTGTTCGGTGACTGTTAGGGAGACGCGAGCTCTGAACAGTGAACAGAAATGACAGCTTGAAAAGGATTTATCATTTCTTATATATGCGGCCTTGTATCTCCGACTGAAATACGTGTTAAGTACAATGATTGTTAAAGTCAAGTTAAAGTTATTTGAATTTCGATCAGATGCTATCTCTATGTTTATTTAGTAGGTATACAAATTTAGCAAGGCTTTGGTTAAATTGAGCGTGACAATTTTATGCAACTTTTATGATATTTTAAGGTGCCATACGCTCAATAAGTGTGTCTTAATTTCAATGTGTGGCCATGGTGTGGCCAAAAGATTGCATCCCAAAAAACTATATGAACATCGGAATGCGTCGTGGAGCGGATGAGAGATTCTCTGTTCGATATTAAGCTGCAGCGCTGGTGGTGTTCTGCGCCAGAACCATCAAACTTTCAGAACACTGCAGAGAGCAGGTATTCTCGGAACACTGCGGCAAGTGTGAAGTATAGGCACTCACCAAACTTCTGAACACCACCGTCTCATAGTTGTGAACTTTGGTTCATACATCCCTGAGATATTCAGCGTATGCAAATGATGGGTGGTTTGTGCACACCAGCCCATGTATAAATGATCTTCCCTTGCAAAGACAAGACTTCACCAGCATTCGGAGGAAGAGAAGCCAACTTAAATGGACGGGCGTGAAAGGATAAATGGCCGATGACGGCGCTTAAATTTCGTACTAAATGTATCGAAGGTTACATAACGTAGTTCAAAGCGGCAATCCTCCTATATTTGACAGCCTATGATGAGTTCTATCGAATGTAGCTACTTCAGTCTTTTATTTGAAATGTTAATGCTGAAGTGGCAAGAGGTCATTGTAGTAAGGCTTTGTCGTGAATATTGTAAAAAGACACGCCCAAGTAGATATTACAACCACAATTGAATCTGAGGGGGACTCAATCAAACTGTTGAAGCCATCTGAATCAGCTCAAGATTGCGTCACCACCTGCTGCATTGCTGAAGGAGCACTCAACTTCGAACTTTAACATAGTTTCAATTGAAATCTGGCGTGCAAAAAGCTTGGAGCTGTATGAAGGCTCTCGTTCTACGAGTTGGATCGCCCACGATTGCTATAATGCCAGCAAAACATTTGCAGTTCACTACCTTGGTTCGAAACCTCTTGAATACAGGCTCACATGTTGAATACTTTTAAGTGGTTGACCGGTTGATTATTTTATGATTTACGTGTATAACCTGCAATCAAACGTATGCCGCTATTTCTGCTCCCGCAAAGCTATTGTTTACTAATATTTTGCAGTGATAAAAAGACACATATTTGAAACGCTCTCTCAAAACTCTCTTTTCAGCTTTTCGGGATCACTGATACCATTTCTAACATAATGTACTCTGCTGTTTCTATATCCGTAAAATCGTGAGAGAATATGCTCCCATCTTAGCTATTTTACACCACTATTATTTATGCAGTCTAAATAGGTATTACTCCTATATCCACCCTGCAACATGGTTTCAACATCCCCCCGCCCCGCCACCAGAGAGGGGATAATGGCTAGCTGAATTCCGACCGAACGTGCCTAACTTATCATAGACATCATTCAGCGTAACATAGTTGACATGGAAACAACCAGCTGATAGGCATCGAACCGTGCTTAATTGGTGTTTTCTTGACCACGCTACCACTCGATGAAAACATTTGAAGTGCTGAACTCAAAGTGGAATTCGAGCTATTGCAAGCTGACATCTATCATTACATGCAGCTGAAGGTGCTGGAAAGAAATCTGAGCTATTTTTCTGTTACATGATTGAAAACTCGAAGAGCTCCATCTTTTCCTACCTCATCTTCCGTCACAACTACAGCGATATTACTGCTATCAACCGGCGATCTGTCGTATCATAGTGCCTTGGCAAGTACCAGCCCTAAGTCGTTCATCAGTGCGGTTAAATACCTCGGTTCTGTCACCCTAACCAGTTTGGTACTCCAGTCAGAGCAATCTTAGCCCGACGCGGTATTCTAACCCTTCCACTCTGACCCATGTGTATCGCGCTTTTCAGCCGGGTTCACATCACGCACGCCACGCTGATCCAGCTGGACGGAGCGTATGAGACAGAGCCGGGCGACGGTCACCTGCGCGACTGGTACATCGCCGAGACTCGCACCCGCACCTACCTCATCGTACCGCCTCAGGTGAACCGCGGCGCGGGCTGGAATCGGCCGTGACGACAGGCTTCGGGTAGCAGTCCTCTGTAAGGCTATAGAATGAACAAGACACGGATGTAAAACTATAACGGAGATCGTTCTTTTTGCGTTGCATCTGTGACCAGAACCAGTTTTATATCATTAGTTCATCAAATCGATGATTCAGTCACTAATGTGTTGATGGTGGCGTGTTGCAGACGTCGGCTGTGAATGACACGGCTGGCTACAAGATGGCGGCCAAGCGCAACAAGTACGTCGAGTGCTGGGGCGCCGACAAGCCGTTCGCCAACATCAACGAAACGGCGCTAGCCACCAACATTGGACTGGCGGTAGGTGACCAAATAAATAGCAACGAAAAATACACGAGAAGAAACTTTCATTAGGTAACTGAACCTCTGTGCAGATTCGCGGAAAACATTGACATTGCATAAAGTGCAACCTATGCCTGGGTCCTTGAACGTCATAAAGCATGGATGTTTTTTTATTGAGTACCTCTATTCGATTACGATACACCTAGCATCATCGAAAAAAGAAGTAGCGATTCTAGGCGGTTAAATTTAAATGAAAGACGAAACAAAACAAAAACAGCCCGACCAAAACTACAGAAAACAATGAAAATACGGTACCGAACTTTGGCATCTTCTGAACTAAACTAATTGAAAGGCAGGGGAAGCTAAAAATCGTTATCCAACTGTCCGTTGTAGGTAGGTGCTGTGGTTACGGGACGCTCCATTGTGTTTCCGACTGTGCCGCAGTGCTCCCGGTCAGTGCGGTGCAGTCTACCCCCGCAGTGATTGGCCTCTACACACAGAAAAATATTGACACCGTTAGCGGTGTAATTGCACAGTACATATCTGAGCACTTGAGAAAAGTTAATTTAGTCCCTTCCCCGCTTAAATTACTCGCGCTTCTAAATGAACACCAGGAAGAAGGTAATAGAACACTGATAGGAGGGTTGGGTGTTTTACTACATGTAGCAAAACACCCAACCCTCCTAACAGTGTTCTATTACCTTCTTCCTGGTGTTCATTTAGAAGCGCGAGTAATTTAAGCGGGGAAGGGACTAAATTAACTTTCCTCAAGTGCTCAGATATGTACTGTGCAATTACACCGCTAACGGTGTTAATATTTTTCTGTGTGTACCAGCGCTGACTCGGCGCTATACCTGGTGGGCGAGGGCTGAGGGCTGTTCAGTTCGCTATTCAGTACCCAATGTTCAGTACATACATACGTCCGTCTGCTCCGGCTGCTCACTGCTGCCAAAGTCAAGGTCACATTACCATAGCATAAACAGCCTTCGGAGGCTACTTACGGGGTGGCGAGCTAAACACTTCACTCTCTTGTGTCTCCTCATAAAGTTGATTATGATTGCTCGAGTGTTTTGGCAGCAGTAGGCAGCAGAACACCAGCAGACTCCGAACAGCCCTCTTGACTCAAGGCAAACTTGTGATATATTGCTATGGTCTGTGAACTGTTCCAATCGTTTTTTTTTATTACTTATTTTGAAGTGCACTATTGAGAGTGTCTTATATGCCTAAATTATGATTTTCTAATGAATTCCACAGTAGTCTCTTAGAGTCTTGGGCAATTAATTGGATTGATTCTTCCTTCTGCAATTCATTCGGAGCTCACCGACATGTGTTCGAACACCGATCAACTGTCAAACTATTCATAATTTAGAGCACGCACCAACTTCGAGCAATAGTCTCACGCACCGCCTGCAGCGGTTCTGATGTTATTGGCCAGTCACAATATCGGCCACCGGACTCGTTGTCACGCATAGCCGTATTTGTGGCAGACGACCCACAGATAGGCCGACGTTTGTTGACCGTGTTCGGCATAGCGCAGCTGACACCGGGCCATTTTCGTCGCATCTGACAAAAAAGTGTCAGACGTAGTGTCAATGTTTCCATAATAATGCATGTTTTCGATGTCCTTTTTGTGAGTTAACGTTACTTTGTGGAATGCTTTGTTTCCGTTTTTTTTGTCGATCTGTCATATGAAAGTTAATAAGCCCCAATAAGACGAGGGACCAACATTATATAACCGCGGGCGCAGCGTTTCTCTGTGCTGTCGTGTGTTGTTTACCAAATACACCTGACAGCATGGGAGTGTAAATCACATTCCGTGTCACAACTACACCCAATTTGGTCACCTTTAGCCAGTGCAGTGTGCTAGTGTCACTGACCTGGCCTTCACATCCTGTGCCACCGTCCGAGTACCACTGCACCGGCTTCTGATACGGTCAGGGCAGACTAAAGGGTACTGTCTCCGTTCGGTGACAACGGCCCGCTGCCGACAACCGGGCTGTGTCATCCCATCCTCTTTCCGACAGCTGCCGATTGGTGTCGGACAGGGCGCTCTGACACTCCTGCGCTCTGACCTTATCCGACCAGTGGTTACACCTAACGGGCAGGAGATCCGATTGACCGAGTCGTTACCGTTTTAGGTCTAACAGCCTCCTAACAATAATTTTTTATTGATTTCACGTTAATCACAACGTGAAAATAATCGGTCGTTTAGTACAAAAAAGCGCCTTGAATGCCTAGTTGATTTTGACACTGTATTGACGTTGAACAGATTGCATACAAAATTCAATGCACCGACTTAGTTGCTCCATCCCTCTCCTCTCTCTCTCTCTCTCTCTCTCTCTCTCTCTCTCTCTCTCTCTCTCTCTCTCTCTCTCTCTCTCTCTCTCTCTCTCTCTCTCTCTCTCTCTCTCTCTCTCTCTCTCCCTCCGTGCCTCTTTCCTCCTCGCCCCTCTATCTCTAAGCTGACCGTGTGCCACTCGTTACAGAGTTTGTCGTCAGTGGAGGCCAGCCTATTTCCACTGGGACTATCCACCATTGACTGCGGGTGAGTCTTCCCCAGAGTCTTGTCCCCCTGCATCTGGGAAGGAAACTATCAAACTAGGATCCGACTGCCATGAGCTCCACCTGGTCACAGGAATGTAACATCTACAGAAGAGTGCCTGCATGAACATTGTATCTCTTGTTATGTTGTTTTGTTCTTGATTATCACTTATTCATGTTGACAAGCCTTCTAATTGCTGTAGACACCGCAATAGACTCTTTTTATCCGCTCCTTGTTACCATTTTACAGCGTAAATGAGTATTGACAATGCGCCGGCAGTTTTCTCACCCCATTGTTATCGAGGTGACGAGGACGGACGTCGTTCCGCGATGCCACAACGGTCGATCATAACATCGTTTCCCAAAGGCACCTCGAATGACGTTATTGCGCGCGGCGGAAGCGCCCAAATTGCGTTATGAGGTGATTCGGATCGCCGCATACTATAGCGTTCCGCTGCATCAATTGCCCACGCCCGAATGAATACGAAATTAGCATGGAGTCAAGATTGGCCTGGCTGATTTACAGCCTGGAATGAGTGATTTATTATGCCACCAATAAAAGTTAATCAGCTCTTGCGGAGCCAAAATAGCTCTCCTGACGGGAATGGAGAGCTGCTGAATCACGAGGTCGTAAAGCACTCAACCGTACCGTCTGTTCCTTACATCCCTCTCGCTCTACCTAACTACTTATGTAAAAGCTGCCTGATACTTGTGCGTGTAACGTAGCAATTGATTGTCTTAGACTTATCTCGAGAATGTGCCACATGACAACGTTAGAATGTGCCATGTGAAGGTATCCAATATCCACGTCTCCACGTAGTAATAAGTCAAGCCGTAGGTTTAATGCCCAGCTGTAAACCATCTCCCAGGGATGCAAGCTTCGTGTGTCGGTTTCCTTGTATCGGAGTCCCCGGGCCGTGCCGTGTGACGTCGTCTCGTGTGACACCGTCTTATGTGACACCATCTCTTGTGACGTCGTGCCGTGTGATGCCGTCTCGTGTGACGCCGTGCCGTGTGATACCGTGCTGTTTAACCCGGCCGGGCCCGGGGGGTAATCCCAACCACCGCAGCCCGGGGGGGGGCGTTTTTCGCCCCCCTGTCTAACTCCGTAAATAAGGGAGCTACGGAAACAAAAGCGATACCAAACGAAAGGTCCTTACGAGACGATTCTAAAGCACCTAAAATTTTTGACCTCAGGTCAATTTTCAAGGTCAGAGGTCAAGGTCAAAGGCAAAAACCGGCACATGTGTAGTGATCTCAAAGTAAGCCTTCTAGAGGACGGCAGGCTGCATCAAACCGGCAAAATTGGGTGTCAAACGAAAGAAAAGAATCTGAGGATTTCGAAAATGTGCTCAAAATCAAAGGTCAAGGTCAAGGTCACGCTCAAAATTGACCTCAAACTTGGCACTTTTTCGCACATCTTGCGTGCCAACTTCCAAGATGTTTTGAAATGCTTTGAGGCTTATCAGTTCCCTATTCGTGGTTCATCTTACGATACAAGGCTGCTCAAAGGTCAAGGTCACTGAACAGTATCCCTGCTAGAGGCTATTTCACTAATTCAAGTTAGTAATAATAAGTAAGACAATTTTGCCATCCGGAAGCTCTAAATGAAGGCTTAGAGGAAAATAGATGCCAGATTCGTGATCAGCGGGTACAAATCCATCAGAAACGACCTTTCATGTGTCAAGGTCAACCAGAGGTCATTCGAGGTCACATAAGGTCAACATAAAACTTGACCTTTTCCGAACAAAATGTATATCATTCGACGTGGCTTGACAAGGCGAATGCGATGGTACCACTGCCGAAGCTCTAGGACCATTTTTGTAGAAGTTATTTGCGAAAAACTAAAACCACATTTCGGGGTCGTTGACCTGACCTCTGACCTCAGGTCATCAAAACTATTTTTCTATTTTTCTCTATGTCAAACGCTACACAGCCGTGCTCATAATTTGTCTTTATCTCCAAAACTCTATTTTTAGCAGCTATTTGAAGTTTGCGTCTGTGACGCCGAAGTTTGCCGTGCAGAGGTCTAGAAAAATGGACCTTGTGACGTCATCAAGGGGGCTAGGTCCAAATTTTTTGCTTCAGAAGATGTCAAATTGATGGGAGAAAAGGTACTGAAAGTTTCGCTTTCCTATCCCTAAGCGTTCGGGAGCTATCGCAAATATTCGCCAGGGGGGCGAAAAACGCCCCCCCCCCCCGGGCCCGCGAGGGTTAACACCGTGATGTGTGACGCCGTCCCGTGCCGTATATGACGCCGTGCCGTGTCGTAAGACGCCGTTCCGTGACGTCTTGCCGTGTGACGCCGTGCCGTGACGCCGTGCCCCCGTGTGACGCCGTGCCGTGACGCCGTGCCGTGACGCCGTGCCGTGTCGGCAGCCAGTGTTGTAGCCACTCGGAGGAGCTACATCCGGTGACGCTGTGGTTCCGGGACGGCCAGCGCGAGCTCGAGTACCTCCGGCAGAGCGACCCCGAGTTCCGACACCACGTCACCTGCGCCCTGCTGCTCTACCTGGCCGGCTGCTGCGTCCAGCTCGACCACGGCGTGAGGTCAGTCCGGGGTCACGTGGTGAGGTCAGACCGGGGTCTCGGGATGAGGTCAGACCGGGGTCTCGGGATGAGGTCAGACCGGGGTTACTGGGCGAAGTCAGACCGGGTTCTCGGGATGAGGTCAGTCCGGGGTTACTGAGCGAGGTCAGACCGGGGCCACGGGGTGCAGTCAGACCGGGGTCACGGTATAAAGTCCGGTGATGGCGACGTGGCGTAAGGCCAGTCCGGAGATCACCATGACGTGAGGTCAGGGCAGGCCGTGCATCTAAAATAAATAATTTTCTTATGATCAAACGCTTATATTCTCTCCACATCTAACGGCCCATCAGCGTTCGTTACTTTCCGTGCTGTGGAGTAAGTGATAGCTCTTTCAACAGCTGCGTCCAACGTAATTGTCCGGAATCTTGCGCCTCGGCAATTAGATTGTCTCTTCTCTCAGTCAAGATCTGACATCTCCGCCTGCCGGAACGAGTTTTCCAGAGGAATTGGCGGCAGAAATGACAACCTCTGTCGGTCTGCTTGTGCATCATATTCAGCTGCTCAATGTCTCAATGTTCGTGCTTTTATATGGCAAGTGCATCAAATTTCTTGAGAGCCTAACAAATAAGTGACTGCATATAGAACTATCATCGACAACCTGGGAATGTAAATAATCAAAAAGGCTTCATTGACATGCCGTATAGAAGGTTTGGCACCTTTCAGACCATAGATCATATTTATTGTTCAGTTAATGGCCACAAAGGCTATAGACTAAGGCCTACGAATTCGGAAAATGAGCCCATTGACGCGGTTTTCATGAGAGCACACCCATTTAACTGCTTTAAGAGCATAAACCTCTCGTATTCCGAAATCTATGGAGTGGTTATCATTTTTCTTTGGTACTGTACTTTGTCCTTGTTCTTTGCAGACAATTGTACATTTTTGCCGTCTTTTATGGAGTTACCGGCCAGTGTGATGCTCGTGTGAATTAACCCTCGATGTGTAGGGGGGGGGGGTGTCGGATGGACCCCCCATGGTTATTCGCGAATAACTCGCGTAAAAAGCGGCTGATTGCGACGAAACTTTCAGTACCCTCGCATTGATCAATTTTACACCGACCCTGAAAATTTCATGACCCTGACCCAAATGACCTTTGACCTGTGACCTCTTTTCCGAGACCATGTTTGGCCGGAATCGCGATTCCGCGTATGTCGGCTCGCATTAGCCGCGCGTGTGCAAGCTTTTCGTGGGTTCAAACGTTCAAACATGTGATTTGGTGTTACTCCCATGCATTAGGGTGAATGTCAAGGTCACATGGAGGTCAGGTCAGGTCATTGACCTTTGGTGACCTCGGTTCACTTCGAGTTTCGAGTTCGAGTTTTGCATGTTTCTAGGCTAGTTTTTGGAGCTGAATTCGAATTTAGCAACCAGTTGAACATTTACGAAGCAGTTTTGGTGCCTTCGTAACATGTTACGAAGCTGTCAGAGGCGGTTGACACGTACTACGAATACCCGTTACGACGCCTACTGGTTGACCTGACCTGACCTGACCCGACCTGGTCTAAATGCTTAAAGACATCATCTGTGATAAAAACTAACACGATATTCGTGATCAGCACCCCGAAAAACCCCTTAGCAGCCACACTTTACGACTTTCTAATAGGTCCCGATTTTCCCGACTTTGGGTCATTGACCTGACCTGGAAGGTCAACCAATGACCTAGGACCTTAAAATTGGGTATCATCGGCTTCCTCTCGTCACGGGCAACACGCTCGTTTTTTTCCGCGAAGCTCTAGCTCGATCAGGGGCCAAACGGCAAGGGGGGGTCGGTTGGACCCCCCCCCTACACATTAGAAGCTGGCAAACGCCGCACACGATTCCCGGATGAAAAGTCAAAACGTTAAAAGTAAACGGATAAAAAGTCAAAGGACATTAAGTCAACAGACAGAAAGTCAACATCGCAAGAAGTCAAAGGACAAAATGTCAAATGAACAAAAAGTCAACCTGCCAAAAAGTCAACACGCCAGAAGTCAACAAGCTAAAAGTCAACACGCAAGAAGTCAAAAGACATAATGTCAAAGAGACAAAAAGCCGACATGTCAAAAAGTCAACGCGCTAAAAGTCAGCACGCTAAAAGTCAACACGCATAAAGTCAACACGCAAAAAGTCAAGACGCTAAAAGTCAACACGCCTAAAAGTCAACACGCCTAAAAGTCAACACGCTAAAAGTCAACACGCTAAAAGTCAACACGCGAAAGGTCAGCATGCTAAAAGTCAACACGCTAAAAGTCAACATGCTTAAAAGTCAACACGCTAAAAGTCAACACACAAAAAGTCAACAAGCAAATAGTTTATAGGTGCGCGAAAAGTTGATGCGCAAAATGTAGTCAACAGCAAAAAGTAGTCTTCAACAGCAGTCGTTAACTAAGTCGGTACAAGTACGCCGCAGCCCGCGTCTCCGGTCGGCGACTGACCCGCGCCGGGCCACCTGATCCCCGGCCGCCGCCCGCTGGGCGCCGGCTGCACCGCATAGAGAGTCTCGGCGCGTCCCCGTGCGTGCCCCGACACTACCGATAAGAACGCTCCTACCTATTTTTACTTTGCTTTAAAAAGTATATTGGGAATGTGAACTTATCTATATAAAGTTGGCGTACTGTGCCTGCTGGTGGCGGGGGGGGGGGGGGGGGGCAGTTCCGATAAGGAGACGTAGGGCGGAGGCGAAGATGAAGGAGAGGGACAGTAACTGGTGGCCACAATGCGCTATACTTGTCACCTCTCTTTGGACGTCACAGCTCCGAGGTCCTAAAAAATTGTGTTTTTAGCAATCGCATCCCGATAACTTAATTGACCTATACATTTCGATGAAAATTGGTCACCTTAATTGTATGCAGTCCGTACCTTTCGATGAAAATTGATCACCTTAATTGTATGCAGTCCGTGAATATTAACAGGTTGTTGTCTGTTGATGCTGATATGAGCGTTCCTTTCAAGGCAGGACAATCCGACAATCACACCATTGCCTCTCGTTCCAACTTCCACCTATTTAAAAGAAATTTGTTTTGTTTTGTTGGGTTAGGCCCTTTCGGTCCAATTAGACCATTTCAGAGCCGGAAGGATGATAGGAATTAGGGGGAGACATTGGTCTGGGCAGGCATCCTAGTGAGTCACCGGCAGACTTGTGCCGTGACCAAAAATCAAGATCCAGGATCCTCAAGATCCCACGGCAAATTCAATTTCTAGAATCCAAGGTTTCCAAGGTCCCACGGCAAATTCAATTTCTAGAATCCAAGGTTTCCAAGGTCCCACGGCAAATTCAATTTCTAGAATCCAAGGTTTCCAAGGTCCCACGACAAATTCAATTTCTAGAATCAAGGTTTCCAAGGTCCCATGGCAAATTCAATTTCTAGAATCCAAGGTTTCCAAGGTCCCACGGCAAGTATACATTGCAGGATCCACAGTCCCTAAGGTCCCACGACGAGAATGCATTGCAGGATGCACAGTCCCTAGGGTCCCACGCCAAGTGTGAATTTCAGGATCCACAGTCCCCAAGGTCCCATGAAAGTATACAGTTCAGAGTTCAGGGTCCACACTCCACAGTCCTCAAGGTCCCACGACAAGAATACATCTCAGGATCCAAAGTATTCACGGCCCAACAACAAGAACTAAAACAAACTAACATTCTGATGAGCAGACTTACTTCTAAATATTCTGCCAATGGATGCCCAGCAACATTGAAAGGGGCAGAACCTATGCAAACCTGTGGTGGTTTTATCGTTTACCAACATAGGTAGGGGGAGCTTCAACACAAGTTAAAGATGATCATAATATCGATCTCTCCTTCTCTAGCCTGAAAAATTCATAAAAATATAGGTAGGTAATAGGTACCTTGCAATTTGTATTGCCATGTCCCTTTCAAATCAATCTTACCTGATCAGTAGGAATGTAGGATAGCACCTTACAGTTATTGAAGACAGACATTCAAGTATTCTTTCAGGCAATATCAAAAAGCCAGAAATAAAACCTACAGGCTTCATAAATATGGAAAAGTTGAACTGGATAGGTATATGCCTTCGATTTTCTGCACAATCAGGTACATAATACCTAGGATAAAAACTCAAATATGTTCCAAGTCTTGTTTGCGCTAGCGCTCACAGAAAAACTGAGCGATAAAGCCAATAGAATTAGATTATCAGCGAGCGCAAACCTTACTTACTGTTCATTCACATTAGCTTGAAGGATCTGAACAAAATTCCATCTGACAATTTTTTCGTCAGATGGTTCTTGGTCGGCAGATTTTCGTCTGACTTTTTCGTCTTTCATTTTTTCGTCTGTACGAATTGATTTGGTGCATTTTTCGTCTGAGTATTTTTCTGTCCGGCATTTTTTCGTCTGGACGAGGCGGAAAATGTCCCTACGAAAAAAATGCGCGGACTTAAAAATGCACAGACGAAAAAATGCAATAGACGAAAGTCTGCGGACGAAAATCTGCAGACGAAAATTGTCCGACGAAAACCTGCTAAACGAAAAAGTTGAACCGTCATGGAATCATTGCTTATATTGAATGCTCATTGTTCAATGGTGATTTGATGACTTTCAAAACAAATAAGTTTGACACTTACTTGGTCAGTGGGTAGCTTCCAAGTAGCTTCAAGCCCGGCATATCACAACCCAGAAAATATGTGAGGTGAGATTAGAAAAGAACTTTCCAAACCACCACTGTCCACTATTTGACAGTTTCATAATCCATAACATTGGTCATTGATAATGTAAAAAACTACCAGGTCTCTTGTTCCAGTTCTGCCTCACAGCCATGACAACGATTTGGCTCTATATATGTATGTCTACACAGTCTGGTTCGTTTTCTCTTCATGCATCTATCTTAGCGCCTTGCAGCTGGTCGCTCAACCATATATACTTATTGAAGTGTTTACAGACAAAACCTAGTGCAGGGTCCTTAGTGGCCCATGTGCAACATAAACCTCATGGTCCAGCTTCCAGGATTCTTGAGGTCCCTCAACAAAATCATGGTGTAGGTCCTGACCGTTCTACTAAGATTCCATGACAAATAATAAAACTGGGACTGAAGGTCTGCATTCTGCAGGGTCTTGCAGCATACCAAAATTTTGAGGTCCTGACCCCTGGGTTTCCATGGTTTCACAGCATATGAAATGTTGAGGTCCTGGGTTTCTAAGGTCTCATGTCACATGAATTGTTGATGTCCTGGGATTCCAAGGTCTCGCGGCATTTGCAAATGTTGATGTCCTGGGATTCCAAGGTCTCGCGGCATATGCAAATGTTGAGGTCCTGGGATTCCAAGGTCTCGCGACATATGCAAATGTTAAGGTCCTGGGATTCCAAGGTCTCGCGGCATATGGATGGTTTAAGGTCCTGGGTTTCCAAGGTCTCACGACAAAAATGACAATGCAAGGTCCAGGATCCATCAAGGTCCCAGACCTTGGACTCTGCGAACCCTGGATCTCGGATCTTTTTGGGACCTTGGCACAAGTCTGGTCACCGGGGCTGAGCCCATCCCGAAGGACAGGCCGATCAGCCCCAAGGTACTCACTGCACCCGGCTACGGGGTGCGCTCCCTCGGGAGCAGCGGTGCCGCTCCAGCAGCCCGCATGAGATAAAGTTGCCTGTCCAGCCCGGAGGGGGTTGCGGCGTGGAGGAGAAGGATTTCCGTATCCTGAGGATAGAAGCATGGAACGGTGATTTAAAAGAAACGACGCGCTTTACTAATGTACCAATTGTACCATACAATACGCTTGAACTATAATAAAAGTGTGAAATCGCTAATAGAACCCGTGACGGAATCAATTGATGAGAAACGTCTCCCTACACAATATAGGAAATTTGAACAAGCGAAACTTTTCGTATCGATAACATTCTGGGCTACTATATTTGTTGAAATAATTCCAGTAAACTGCGCCTGGGACAGTCAGTTGTCTCGAAGGATCATGTAACGCTGCCTCATGACAACCTTACGATGCGAGCGAGCTCCCACCTAGCACGTGTCAACGGATGTGTGTCAGATTTCAGCCAAGCATGCCCGTGTGACCAGCTGAGTCGCGGTTGCGGGCCATGGGAATCCCCATCAGTCGTGCAATGGAGGCAGTCTCGCTTCAATGTCCAATGATGCAGGTTATATTGTGCAGCATCCTGCTTAATTGTGTACAGCTGTTTGTAAATGTTATCTCATGTATGTAATGACTGATGATCCAGGTGTCATTGACTTTGTCTCTTTGACTTGTCCTTTTGAGTTTTTGGATTTTGGCTTTTTGTCCTTTGGATTTTTTCGTAATTTGACTTTATGTTCTGTTGACTTTTCGTCTTTTGACCTTTGTCCTCTTCACTTTTTGTCCTTTTGACTTTTTGTCCCTTTGATTTTTTGTCCTTTTGACTTTTTGGACTTTGACTATATGTCTTTTTGACTTTTTGAACTTTTGACTTTTTATTTTGACTTCATGCCCGGTTGACTTGTTGTTTTTTGACTTTTTGTCCTTTTGACTTTCTGTCCTTTTGGTTTTTTGGATTTTGACTTTATGTCCTGTTCACTTTTTGTCTTTCGACTTTTGTTCTTTTTACTTTTTGGCAATTTGACTTTTTGCCGTTTTTACTTTTTGTCTTTTGACCTTATGTCCATTTGACTTTTTGTCTTTTGACTTCTATGCTAGTTGGCTTTTTGTTCATTGACTTTTTGGCAATTTCACTTTTTATCTTTTGACGTTTTATCCTTTTTGACTTTTTGACTTTTGACTTTCCTCTTTGTTGACCTTTTACCTGTTGACTTTTAAGATTTTTGACTTCGTGCTTTTGACGTAATGTCTGTTGACTAATCATCCTTTTACCTTTTATCATTTGACTTTTTGTCCGGAACCCCCGCACACATGCGAGGGTTAAATTGCCTTTCAATATTCAGGTTTCAATGCTCTATATATGTAATATGTGTCGTGTCATCATAATTTACATATTCTGTAGCGCTGAAGAATAGCTAACCTTTTGAATTCGCTATCACTAATTCGGTGCTGAGATCAACCTGCTACAGACAACACCATGTGAGACCCGCTCCGCCCTATACCGTCAGACCCGCTTACAGCGAGGTCAAACGGTATCATCTGCATGGTTTGGAGCCTGCTGCTCTTCCGCCGTATAGTTCCGCCGACCTTCCGCTGCTTGAGAGTCGCTGTTCCGGCGCCGTTCCGCCGTGTTTCCGCCGCCGTTCCACTGCTCGGGAGCCGCTGTTCGTTCCGCCTCCGTTTCCGATATTTCCGGAGATGTGGGTGGCCGATATCCGGACGTCGATTTCTGAGCTTTGACGGGTCGGCGGGAGCTCGATCGGAACCGGCGAGGGAAATAGCCAATAGTGGACCAGGCGTGTCTTCAAAGTGCGCTGTTTTGTCGGCCGATCCCGGACGGCGACTGCGGGGTTTTAGATTTCATCCGTCTGCCTCGGTTCAAACGGCTAACAGACGCCGGCTGGTGGCCCGGCACTGATTGCTCCGGCGGCTCGGGTTTGAAGTGGATGAAACGCGGCGCCGAAGGCAGTCAGATGTGAGCTGCCTTGTAACACACGGACCTAAACGGAAACTAATTCTCACTTCAAGTCAAGATCACTCGGGTGATTTGTCTGAATTTCCGTTGAAAACGAACATTTTGAATGCGGGGCATTGCAGTGGTCCGATAATTTTATAGGATCATTCGATTTATTTACTTGCTAATAGTTCGGTTGAGATGGTAACGTCTAGTCATTGGGAGACGCCAGATAAATAAACGTTTTTATATAATATTTGAGAACGTAAAGATGACCGGCAGGGGCGTTTCAGAGCCTCCAAATGCTAATTTACTGATCCCCAAAACAATCACGTTATCATTTTAGGAGCTTCTAGCTTGTCGTGCGTCTCTAGTCGTTTTTCAGTGCAAGTAAATAATGACCTGTCGAATGCGTATTATTAGTTTCATTTCTCAGGTGGAATCATATGTGCGACCCATCACTGGCAGCTATTCTATGTAAGTAATATCCACATTCCGCATCTAGCCTCACCATATCTTAGGCCGTCTCACCAGATTGGACCTTCATTGTGGGGGCAAAACCAATGCATTTTTACTACCCTGATTGCTGACGAATGAAGCTGTCTAGGGCCGGCGCGGCCCTAAATTAGCTTGTGTTTGCCGGTGTCGGCTCCGCGTGTTGGACTGATGGCGCCGATTGTTGCACCCGCTGCGGCTGGGTCAGATCGATCACACGGTAAATAAGCCAGCCTGCTGGGACTGCCGCCACCGACCAGTGTCATAACAGCCCACCGGCTCGAGAGGGCCCTGCCCTCCAGCGCCGTCGGCGAGTTAATACGGCGCCGGATGTTGTCATTAAACGCATTTGGACGTCATTAACAACAGACAGCTGAACCTGACGCTGGGGCAAGCTTGGATCCGTCCCGCATTTCATCAACAGCCTAAATTGTTATAATTGTTTTATAGCGGGTGTTTTATATTATAGTTTATTTGACAAACATGTAGGCAAAGCCTGCAATATCCCATTTCCGGCAATCGTTCTCGCTTAGACACGTTGACACTGCACTGCCGATGGAAAAGCCATGACATATTGATAGATCCGGTTCGCCTGACCACCAGTGGTGAAGTAATCACGGTTATCGCTTTCTGGGCCACCTACCAACGTGCCCTTTTGGTCAGCGATGCACTGTCCGAATGGTCACCCGCCACTAGTCGCGACTTTAGTGACGGCGTGCTTTTCATTCTCTTTGACCGAGCAGCCGCGATGACGAAAAGAACTCACGAATCCGACTGCCATCGAAAGTGTTGATCGCGTTGCGCCTGGGAAACTGCGATAAGAACTTGGGGAGCTGCGGTCGGCTGTACCTTGTGCGAGCGGCGGGCGCCGGGTCCGCAGCCGACTCTGGCGAGGCCACGTAGGCGGAAAACAGGTTCAGCCCAAGCGGTCGGTTGTACACGACGGCAACGAAGGGTCTGTCCACGATGAAGTTCATCGGCATGGAGCGTGTGAAGAAGACCGCACCGGCGCCGGCGGCCTCTGTGCCTTCCTCAGTTACCTCGATGAATACTTTGTGGATGATATCGCTGACAAAGACGCCTCTCTCGTCGGTCATCTGAGAGAAATCGGCGCCCTGAGAGAAGATCTCCTGGATGCCGAGCGCCGTCAGAGGCTCAGTCAGGCTGTAATCAGTCTCGATCTTGAACTTGGGCATGGTGACGTGCATGCTGATCTCGTACATTTGACTGTAGATGTCGGCCATGTCCAGCGTGTCTAGCATGTCGAGCAGTGTTTGTACGGACTCCATGCTCCTCTCGGCCGGCCGCAGCAGCAGCAGACTGTATTCAGGGTCCGAGTACGGCAGCGCCACCGCCTCAAACTGCGTCAGGTTGGCGTACAGCAGAGACGTGGGGTCCGGCAGGGACATCATCGTCAGCCGGCGCTCTCCTTCAGCCGTCAGGAACGGCGTCGGCCTGTCGTCGGCCACAAACGGGCGCTGCCAGAGCGCCTTGAAGTAGAGCGCGCTGACCAGCACCAGGTCAACACCCTGCAGCTGGTTGGCCGCCACCAGCTCGGCGATCTTCCCTCGCGTCACCTCCGCCACGGCCGCGTTGATCTCTCGGGCCGTCTCCTCCGGGGAGGTGATGGACAGCGCGTCAGAGCCGTACACCCGGCGCAGTGTGCTCCGGTAGGAGGGCCGCACAGAGAAGCCCGGCCGCACGTACATCCCGTTGAAGGTGGCCACGGTGATGTTGGTGGTGTTGGAGGAGAGATGCTCGATCGCCGACTGGTAGCCGCTGAGATAGTCTAGCTCAGCGCCCGTTTCGGGGTCCTCCAGGCCCAGGATAGGCATCATCTGCGGCACACGACAGCAGGGACTGTTCAGTCATACACAAACAGACTCCAGAGGTTTGTGTACGTCATTAGCTACCCTTTCTGTAAACATTAGCCTTTAGCGTGAAATACGACTCGCTAACAACAGTTGTCGCTCCGCAAAGGTCAGTACTATCCAATCGGCTGGTAAGAGACCCCTTCTCTCCACCCACACACACAATCCTGGCTAGCATTCCTTCAGCTGCCAGTCTCGTGTCCGTCTCCCGATGTCTCCCAAATCCTCACCTCGTCTCTGGTAGTGCCGCCGGCTCCCAGGCACACTTGCGTCATCAGAGACGACATCACGAACGGCGAGACGGCCTGGTTCTCGGCGGGGTCTGCCACTAGCTCCTGCAGTAGCGGCAGATCCAGCGCAGTGGGCACTGACGGCCGCGGCTCGGGCTCCTGGGGCGACTCTTTGCGCCACCAGCCTGGCTTAATGCTGGCAGAGACCAGAGCCGGCAGCAGAAGCAGCAGAGACAGAGATAGAGGCAGTGTCGGGCACCGTCGGCCACCTGCTGGCGGACACAGGGCAGGAGGATCAGGTGCAGCTCGTAGTAATGGCAATTAGATTTTGTGGAGGCATTTCACCAGAGACTTGGGAGTTCAGTTCGCGCAAACTGAAAGTCCAGCGACAACTAGCTCTGCATATTTACGACCGGAATCGTTTCCAATCGCTTGGACAGGCAGCCACGCCGTGTTAGGATATTACGTCAGAAATAATAGAACACGTCTTTCAGTCTAGCCATAGCTGGTCCGTTTTGCCTTGCTCGCATAACCAATTAATTGGTCGGGCCTGGTCCGACAAGATAATCGAGAAATCGTCTGCACATAGCATACACGCGCACTTCCAACGGTCCACGGAGGTCTTACCTCGACTGACAAGTGCCATGGTCTCTGATAACTGTAGGAACAGCACACAAAACTAGCACCCACGAACACCGAATCAACGGATGCCTCCCCGCAACGGCCACTCAACTGTGAGTGCCTACTGAGATGTCCTCGCTCTGGCGCTATGGCCGTGTCGTAAGACGGCCTCCCTCTGCCACGGGGCCTTGTGGCTGCGGCGGCTGCAACCCCCCAGTGATGGCAATTCTCGCAGTCACTGGCTGAGAGGAGTTATGATTTTCTCTAGGAGTTGCTTGCATCTCCAGTCTGGAGAGTGTCAATGTCGTCAGTTGAGCCAGGGAGCTGCCTGGACTTTCCATGTTTATATTGGTGAGGTTTGCACACTGAACAGTTTGACGATTTCTGTCTGGAATTGAATATTGCAGTTTTCTAGCAAAGTGCGTCTTTAAATTCCTCTTAGTAGTTGAGCCGTGTGGTCAGTAATTGTTTTCAGGGAAGAACATGGTTTCCAAATGGCATGGACCCAATATTCACCTGATTTTGAAAGTATCTAATGTTTTGCTAATAAACCCTAGCCTAGGCTTTTATGTAGAACACCTGCAGGAATGGTCACTGCAACTATTTTTAATCCTAAACGAATGACAGGAAAGGGACAAAACATTTGGCCGTTCTCTTGGCTACATTGCCGCGTGTTCACTACATACTTCGATCACTCAGCACGATGGACGTATGTACCTATAGCTGCGAGACATCCACTTATGCATAAAATCAGTGGCTGCGATGGATGCCTCATCGTATGGTACCAGGTGCTTCGTTATTTCTGGAGCAATGTCGACTCGTCATACTTCATTGCGTGACAATCTTCTCTATTTACCCTAACCTCAAATAGTCATTATTGCCCTGAACTTACTTTAAACGGCTTACTGTAAGCCAGGGAATAGATCACCAAAAGGTTAACACCTGCATGTAGTGTAAACAAGTGATATTTGCGTGGGAACGTCACACAACACCGCTGCAATAGGTCAACTGCTCGTGTCAGTTTATCCCTCACGTCTAGTAGGGTAAACAGTCACAGACTGACCTGTTATGGCAAACCCCGGTCAGAAGGGCGCCGCGGTGTACTAACCGTTCCGTTGATTGCTGATCATGTCATGTTGACACTGTCGTAGGTCGTACGATTCGTGAAACCAACAATCGATCGCGTAAACCCGCGGTCAACTCAACTTACCCGCTGACGTTTGATTGAGTAGTGAGTGCGGAGCGATAGTGTCGTGACATGAGTTCACTTATTTGTGCCAACCGTGCGACCCGCCAGCCGCTAGGTCACGTATAAGATGACCCGCCTGATCACGTACACAAAGGGCCCCGCCAGGTCACGTACGGGGCTGTTCAGGAGTCCTTTGGGGTCGGCCGGGTTTCAAATCAAAAGGAATACTAAAATCACGTCCACAGCCGAGCCGCTGAGAGCCTGTACGTGTAAGTTCAAATTCTGCTGACAGGGACATTCCTTGGAGACGGATCTCTCTGCTTGATTATTCTTACATCCATCCATCACTATCATAGTGTCCAGTGTCAAAGAGCGTATTGAATGCAGCAGATCAACTGTTATGTAAAGGCATACCGACCTATTCATTTTACGTTTGCTCAATTCCGGTTATAAGAAAAAGATGTTTTCGTACGCTGTCGCTTATATGATATATGTTTAAGGCTCAAGACGTGACATGTACGTGCGTGACTTTTACTGCTAATAGAATATTGTTGATCAATCGATCGATCATAAAGCCTTTGTTTTGTCCAGCACCAGACATCCAAATAAATATCTTTCAATCCAATAGTTTATTAAAGTGCAGCTCTTCATTCGTGAGAAATAATAGCATTACATATTGCTGTCCCTCTTAGATAAGGCTTCGTCGCTTTCGACCATTTCCTATAACCACTGTATCATTTGTGCAACTGACTGCAGTCAACACGGCTGAACAAATCCCACCAGGCGTGCAGGCTCTCAAGCAACAGTGTCCGTCTCTTATTAGTTGTTTACCGTCTCCAACTATCTTCCAACGAGATCATCAGCTTAACCATTAGTGCTAAATGTTTGTGACGAAGAGGGTGCTTCGTGTGTGGAAAGTTAGGGCATTTTAGGTCATACCTATGTGAGACGTTTAGGGACACAATACGTACCAGTATAACGCCTTTTGGGGCGATTAACGGAGCGAGCGAGAGGGTGGGCCTTGCACGTGCGAAATTGCGAGGGGGTACCTCCAACTGACTTGTGCACGGCACCCTACTAACCGGTCTCTAGCGATGTGCCAAATTTGGGCACAATCGGCCCAGCCGTTCTCGAGATCTGGAAGCGGCACCCTGCACGTGCGCACGTGCAAAATGGGTCCCAACTGACTTGCGCACGGCACCGTACTAACCGGTCCCTAACTGTGTACCAAATTTGAGCGCAATCGGTGGAGCCGTTCTCGAGATCTGGAAACGACCCCTGCACGTGCGCACGTGCAGCAGCGCCCCAACTCTGGCACATGGATATGCAGTGCCTAGTGGGTGCCTACCTACATGCCAACTTTCAGCGCAATCGGCCAAGTATGTAGTTACCGAGATATTGCAACAATTACAAAACGGACACCTCTTCGTTTTGCACGTGGCACGTGCATAAGGGGTCACCCACATGCATCGGGAATAGTCCAATACTTGGTAGAAGGAATGAAGCTACCCTACAAAAATTGCCGCGTGTAAATCGGTCAAGTGGTTGCTGAGATATAAGCCTCGCAAAAGCGTGACCACGACCGGCCGGCCGGCCGGCCGGCCGGCCGCTCATACTCAGAAATTTCCGTTAATCTAAGGAAAGACTACGCTCGCTTCGCTCGCTCCGTAATCACCTAAGCATTATTGTTCATGATTATCTAGTTATGCCTATTGCCTATTTTGTTGAAGCATATACTCGAATACTTTTAATTTGACATTTTATTTATTTAATTCGTCATTTTTTAGTCCTACGTATAGTATATGCTCAAATTCAGTTCACAGGGACATCCCTTTGCGACGGATCCGTCTACCCGATAGCCATTTATGCATTATTATGCAACGTACTATGGTGAGCATGGCTCTGAATTCTAGTCTGGAACCTAACTACACATATAGCGGTCCCGGGCCGCAGACGGGCTCCGAGAGCAACGGTAATGCAGTACCAGGGTACAGGTAAATTACCTAAACCACCGAGTCATACGTACCGTCCGCAGTCGGCAGCATGGGCTGGCTATTAGGAGCTTTAGCTATCTATGTCTATCGCATAACTATTGGTACAGGTCTGGTGAAATTGTATGGTGACTGTCATATTAGCCGTTATCGTGCTGAAATGCGCCGCGACGTAGATCGCACCTAATCTAATGAAAACGCGCTCACCAACGACAATTATGGGAACGAATTGCGTAGTCTTCCAATTTAGCGCTGCTGACGACAGCGCGAAGCGAATAAAGTTCAACATCAACTATCACGCAGCCCATCCTAAAGGGTGAATTTGCCTGCAACAGCTATCAGCTTTAATCATACATGCGTCATGCGTGGCTGAACAGCAGACTCGTGCGTGGCTGTTTAGTTGGTGATGTTTCTTATTACAGCTGCCCTGGCTGTCCATGAGTGACCGTCACCGCCCACCCGGTCACCCACTGACCGCTGTCTCTTTCCGTGCCCACAGGTCACCGCTGGCGCTGAGCACCTTCTCCGTGACTCTGGCCGTGCTCGGCCTGGCCCGGCTGGTGCTGGGACTCAGGGCCGGCCCCGGCTCGCAGTCAGAGGCGTCCTCTGTCGGCCACAAATCGATACTGAGTGTGGGCCTGCAGACGGCCCTGGTGGTGACCGTGTCGGTGCTGGCGGCCGTCTCCGCCGTGGTCACACTGGTGGGTATGGCTGTAGTTATTACGCGTGACTTGGGTATTGTACGCATGCACGCTAAGCTCTGACTGGCTAGGTGGTTAACAGGCCAATATTGCTGACAGGTCATGTTGTTGAAACGTTTTGTGGCGATGCCGTAGGTATACAGGGTGATCCAAAAAATTTGGAACCCCTAACTTAAAATGTCTGTAAGTCCGAAAGTATTCACTTTATTGACAAATTGCAAACACAATTAGAAAGAGCATTAAATCCTCTATAAAATAACGTCAAATTAGTGCATGTATGTTGTAAAGCATTGACACACAATTAGCTTTTGGAATGAGCGTCAGAAAACTGAGTGAAACGAAATCGCCAATTGTTAACAATGCACTGAAGTCCGTTAGCACTCCATCTGTTGTTTTTTGCGAATAACACCACATCCAATTTCAATTTTATTACATAAAAGTTTACACAGAAGCAGACAATAGAACAGATACACGCGTCCAAGCTTCCGCTGTTCATCACAGCATGTGCTCAAACCGAGCTCCGTTGGCCGTCACGCAGGCCTGCAGTCGCTTCGGGACGGCTCCGACGGCGCAGGCCAGCAGTCTCTGGGACAACTGATCCCAGCAGGCCGTCAGCCTTTCCTTCAGCTCCTCTATGGTGCTGATCCTCTGACCTCTATACATAATTCGCTCCAGTTCGCTCCACATGAAGAAATCCAAAGGGTTGAGGTCAGGACTCTTCGGTGGCCAGGCATCTGGCTCGATGAAGGCCGGGCAGGCCTGTTCCAGAAACTCGACCACTGAGTGGGCCGTGTGGCACGGAGCACCGAATGACTATTTTTTTGTGCTCCTGTTGAAATTTAAGTTCCTTACAATAGCACGTGAATGAGCTATTTTTATTCATGAACCTCCAACATGCGACTTGGTCAGAACAGCAAACTGCAAATCACTGATTTGCGCATAATGTTTAAAACCGTTTCAGTGAGTTTCGTGACACAAATTTTATAAGCATATAACTAGGGCAATATTTATAGTAATAGTTCAGTTCAATCAACTTGGTTTTATAGAGAATTGAACGCTCTTTCTAATTGTGTTTGCAATTTGTCAATAATGTGAAAACTTTCGGACTTACGGACATTTCAAGTTAGGGGTTCCAATTTTTTTGGATCACCCTGTATATCCGTTTGCAACGGAAAAGGGAAAGCTAAGGAAGCTGTAATGTGCCTGTTGCTCGTTTAGTACCGATGCTGTTTCGTTTTCAGCTAATCGTACATCTCTTACTTTGTATTTGGTTACTGATCAGGTGCTGTTCCTGTGTGTGGACAGGTGGACAGCCCGATGGCGGTGGCCCCACGTGCGCCGCCCACCCCGGGCAATGTGAGCAGCGAACCGGTGGAACTGACTGACACCGCATTCCGGCGGAAAGAGGTAAGGTTCACTGGACGGAGGCGGGAGACGGGAGGGTAGGGAGGTCTCAGGTCAGGTCAAGGGAGTGGGACACGGGGACGGAAGGATTGGTTTGGAATGAGTGAGTTTGAAAAGGACTTTGGTTTGGAATGGGTCCCGTCCTCTTCTGTCCCGTCGCGCCGCTGACCCTGCCTCCCTTTCCACCGTCAGGTGGCGCTGTTCGCCACTCTGCTCTCGCTCTTCATCACGCTGGTGTTCCTGCGCACCAACTTCCTGCTGAAGCTGGTGCTGATGGTGCTGAGCAGCGCGGCCCACGTGGTGCTGGTGGCCGGCTGGTCGGGCGCCGGGGCCGGCTGGCCGGCGCCGCTGCTACTGCTGGCCGCTGGCTGCGCCCTGCTGCACACCCTCGACCGACAGGCGGAGAGAACCGGGCGCGCCGACTTCCTCTGGCGCATCAAACAGCGCGGCGAGCAGGAGGACGTGGAGACGATGCGCGGCATAAACAAGGTGCTGCTGGAGAACATCCTGCCGCACCACGTGGCCGCCCACTTCCTCAACAGCAGCGCCATCGAGGTACGGGTCCGCCTCCGACCGCGTCATGGGGGCTGGGCCGAACTCCGGCGCAGCGACTTGTGCATTAATTTTTCGATATGCATTTGCGTTCAAGAATGCTTGAGCTTCATGCTATAAAAAATCACGTAAGAATGCAAATATCGCGCTAACTATCGCCTGAAGCATACTGTAATAATAGATCCATGTATGCCTAAAGGATTCTCTGCCGTCCATCCTTGCAGCCATAGCCTCGGTATCGCGATCTCTGTTGCCTGTTCCATAGACAGCATTTTTCAGTTGTCTGTCCCGGGACCTGTATCTCTCCATTGTCTTCCGCAGGGTCTGTACCACGAGCGGTACACCTCTGTGGCGGTGATGTTCGCCTCCATACCCAACTACCGCGAGTTCTACGGCGAGACGGACGTCAACAAACAGGGACTCGAGTGTCTGCGACTGCTCAACGAGATTATCTGCGACTTCGACAAGGTCCGTCTGGGCACATACATTATGCATATATATCGCGGGAAACACCATTTTTAGCGTGCCTTGAAGTTGGTTAAAACGTTCCTTGAATGGATGTATCTAACGACTGGGGGACGCTGTCACGCTTGTCAGTGGCAACGCAAGACGATTTTTGCCGTCAGCCATATTGCGTCAATAAGAACGGTAATAAACGCAAACGATATTCAACGAATCTTTGACCGAACGAATATTCAAAATTCTCGATAAATGACAGTATGCAGTTCAAGGAATCCATGTCTAAAGGCATTTCTGTCCCTAGATGGCGTTACTCGTATGCGCCTGCAGTTAGGCTGTTCCGCAAAACATGTCATTCGCCGATATGCACAATAGATGTCGCTAGTAGTCGACGCCTGAAATGTATGCTGTGCCGCTGGGCTCTGATCGTAGCGGGAGGCCGCTCACGTCTCGCAACGAGCAATTTAGGTTAATTAGCAAATTAGTCTTACAAATACCATAACTGAGACTCTTGCTTCTTCAGCTGATGCGTGTAAAACATAGAACGATAGGTATGCTGTTCTAAGAAACAATTGGAGAGATCTATTGCAGCTGATGAATCGTGACCTTTTTGTCGTTTGATCTTATTGAATCATCTTTATTCATTTCCCTGTACCATTCCAGCTGCTTCTGAAGCCCAAGTACAGTGGAGTGGAGAAGATCAAGACGATCGGCAGCACCTACATGGCGGCGGCGGGCCTTCAGCCGGGTCAGGAGAAGGACCGCGCCAAGCACGAGCACAATGTCATCACACTGGTGGAGTTCGCCACGGCGCTGATGGCCGCGCTCGACTCCATCAACCGGGAGAGCTTCCAGAACTTCAAACTGCGCACCGGTCAGTAAAGGCGGCGACGGTCCGACTGGATAATTACCAGGGGGCTTCCTTTCCTTTGGGGTCATCGGGACTCACAAACTATTGATAGTTATGAAATAAATGCTTTTCCACTAAATTGCAAATTAATTTTGGTCCAATCGTCCAATAGGTATTTATACTTTTGCACCATATTGCATTTTGCAAGATGACGTTTAGAAGTAAACTATTCCTTTTATGAAAAGAGGGTCACTAGGTCGCGGTAGCATCTCATATTGTGTTCCGAATCTTGACCATGACGCATTGACACATCCTACTCCCCGGAGGTCTTGACCACTGAAGTGCTGTTTGTCCCCAGGCATTGACCAGGGCGCGGTGATTGCCGGTGTGGTGGGCGCCACCAAGCCTCAGTACGACATCTGGGGGGACACGGTCAACGTGGCCAGCCGGATGGACAGCTGCGGCGTCATCGGACGGATCCAGGTCAGAACGGGGCACAAAGGTGCAGGTCAGGCCGGGCCACAAGGGTCCATGTCAGATTAGGTCACAAAGGGATTCAGGGTAGATTGGATCACAGGGTGCAGATCAGATCGAATCATATAGTCCATGTCAGACCGGGTCACAAGGAATCCAGGTCAGAACAGATTACAATATCCAGGTCAGGTCAGGTCAAAGTCACAGGGGCCTCAGGTCAAACAAGGTCACGGTGGGTAAGGTTGCAAGTTATCTAAGGATTAGGTCAGGCCAGGCTGCGTCACAGGTCATACCTGGGGGGAGGAGGGTCTAGACTGGACCAATTGAGGCAGAAGTTCAGGTCGGGACGGGTCTGGTCTGACCTCTCCTGTGCATCTCCCGCCAGGTGACGGAGCGGGCGGCGCAGATCCTACTGGAGGCCGGATACAGACTCGACTGCCGCGGCTCCATCCAGGTCAAAGGCAAGGGCGCCCTGGTCACCTACCTCGTGCGCACGCCGTTCGACCCCAGCTTCCCCGCGCCGTCACCGGTGCTGGCCTGCCCTCCGGTTCTCCCCGCGGTACAGCAGGCAGCTCTACTGGCCCCACCAGGCGCTTATCCGATCTCGTCCGCAGAAATATCGGCAGGTCTACCGGCAATGTCCTCCATATCTCCAGCAGCCCCGCCTGACACTCAAGTCAGTGATAGTGGTTGTAGCATTATAGCACCAGAGGCACATGTGAGCTCCCCAGTGCTAAACGCTGCCGCGCCAGTCATCGAATCCAGTGCGGACCGATCAGAGTCGCCAGCGACAGACGAAGTTCCACCAGCGCCTGAGACGGACGCCGAGAGCGACGAGACCACGGCTCTGATGGGTGTCGAATCTGCGACGGCGGGGAGGCGGAAGAGCACGGAAAGCCGCTCTGTGCCCCGGACTCTGGCGCTGACAGGTGTGGACGGAGCGGCGATGCCATCCGTCCAGCCGCTGGCAGCCACCCTCACCGTCAACGGCAGCGTGCACAGCCAGCTGGTTCCCGAGACGGCCAATAGGCGGCAGCACCGGCCGCCCAGCTGACGTCTGGAGCGCGGCGAGACGCTCGTCTGAGGGAGACGACTCGTCTCGGGGAGCTGATAGACGCAGTCGGACCCTTGTAGACGGTGACGGCTGGTCCAGGAGCGTGGAGGTGCCAGAACTGCAAGAAAACTTACTCGACGTGTCAGAGCGGCGGTGCTTCTACGCATATCTCTTACTCGTTGCACCCAAAATCCTGGACCAGGCGATCGAAGCTGCACCTCTTTTCTAGACTCGACGGAGGCCCGTCACCCGTTCTTCTCGTGTCCCGTCAATGGATTATGGGGAACTGGGAGCTGGGAAGGCAACTCCATCCCAAGCCGTGTCGTGAAGCTCTCAGCTCAACCGTTGCCCTCCTCGAACCACACCTCTTCTTCTATGTGTTTCAGTGATCTATGTGCTTTCAATGATCTGAAGACCTCTGGCGATTCCTCCACGCCGACCACCATACACTATCAATGTGAGCGTCAAGGCTGATAAGGACAAAGAGCTGAATGCGAGATTCTGACGTGGCGCTGTGGCGAACTGGCGTTCATGTTACGCCAGTCTGAGGTCAAGGCGGTGACAGTGATCGTCTACTCTGACTAGCACTGATTCGGGGCGAGGACTGGTAAAGCTGCTGACACCGACTGAACTAAGCATCGGTCTCTCGTCCGTGGTCCTGTGCGGCACCGCTGGGTTGGAGGCAGTCGCCAGTCACCACCTCTTTCAAAGGTGACGGCGTAACGGGATTGTGACTCGTGTGCACGCGGGAACCCTGTTCAACGAAGGTCCTTACTTCTAACAGGGTATGAAAACGAAGGACAACCGTGGGGTGCGCGCATAGTTGCCATAGTATTAGCGCTTTGTTCGCTCTAAATGCATGTCACCATTGATGTGCTTCATGTGAGAGATTGTTGCCGAATCTGAATGTCATGCTTAACGTATCAATATCATCAGCATCATCGAACGACAATCAAATAATACAGCTCTCATTTTGTTTCATGTCAACTCTTTTCATGTTGTCTCCTTCAGATATTACGTACTTACTGTGATAGTGAGTAGACTGACAAGCTCATAAAACCACGAGCAACCGGGTTTATTATACGGTACAACATATGTGCATTGTTCGTGATGCATAATCAACACGTCACTTGTTAAACACAAAATCTGATATCACACCATTTGTACCATCATTTACAGAAGAGGCTTGGCTATCCAGATCACACGACGCCATCTAACTATGGCACTAGGGCCGATATGATCACTTGGCTGCGATATGTGTGTGAGGTCGGGCGGGACGCAGTCCGCCAGTCTCTCTGCCTCACTCACTGACCTGGCACGGCAGCTGACACGCTATGTCGTCTCTCAGTGCGGGACAGAGCCGGCGGACAGTCCCCGCGCGGCCAGCACGCCCGTTGGCCGGCTGACCGGGGTGGCCAGCAGCGGCGGTGGACGGCCCAGCAGCGAGGCGCCGGGCCGCGGCAGCAGGCCGCCGGGCGGCGTGCGGCCGGCCGCAGCCAGCAGCGGGCGGGACAGCACCGGTGAGGTGGCTGCCGATCGTCGGCCCGGGGGCAGGCCAGCCGCCAGCAGCGGGCGGGGCACAGCCGGCCGGGTCGGGCTGGCTCCCAGCAGTCCGGGGCTGCCGACTGCTCGGCCGACTCGACCGGAGGCAGACACGCTCAGAGCCGCCTGGCTCGACTGCGACTGCTGCTGGTTAACAGTTTGCTGGCTCGGCGGACGCTGGCGCACAGACTGCTGCCTCGGCACTGGTTGCTGCTGCTGCTGTGCAGACTGCTGATACAAAGGCTGCTGGCTTGGCGGCGGCGGCGGCGGCTGCCGTGCGAGCTGCTGGCTCGTCTGTGGCTGCTGCTGAGCCGACTTTGGTTTCGGCTGGGTCGGAGGCAGCGGTATCTCATGTACGGATTGCTGCCCCAGCGGCGGCTGCTGATGGCCAGATTGCTGGCTTGGCGGCGGCTGCTGATGGCCAGATTGCTGGCTTGGCGGCGGCTGCTGATAGCCCAGTTGAATGCTCGGAGGCGGCTGCTGGTGTCCAGGCTGCTGGTTCGGCAGCGGCGGCTGGTGTACGGACTGCTGTTGTATAGGCTGCTGGAGTATCGGCTGTCGGACGCACAAAGGTTGCGGACTCGGCGGCGGCGGAGGCTGACGAACGGCCTGCTGATACTCAGGCTGCTGACTAGACGGCGGCTGCTGGTGCCCGGGTTGCAGCTGCTGTGTGGATTTCGGGGCATAAACAGACTGCTGCTTTGTTGACGGCTGTCGCTGTGCGGTCTGGGGTCCAGGCTGCTGGCTCGGCGGCTGATGCTGATACGCTCGGGACTGCTGGCTTGTTGACAGCTGCTGATGTATGGGCTGCTGTAAGGACTGCTGGCTAGTGGGTGGCGGCCGCTGATACACCGGTGGAAACTGGTATATTTGCTGCTTCTGCTGCGGCGGCGCCGGCTGAGACGCCGCGATACCGACACCATTCTGCTGCAGGGCGCTCTGCTGCTGACTGGTCTGCGGCTGGTACACCTGGTGACAGTGACTGGACGGAGGGCCAGCCGGCTGGGGCGGAGCCGTCTGGGGAAACTGGTGAGACTGAGCAGACGGAGGGCCGGTCGGCTGGGACGGGGCAGTCTGGTGCGGTCCCGCCGACGGCTGGTGCAGCTGGTGAGACTGAGTGGACGGAGGGCCGACCGGCGGGGGCGGAGCAGTCTGGTGCAGCTGGTGCTGAAAAGGCGGCGGGTACGCCGGGAACAGATGTTGGGTCGACGGCGCCTGCTGGGGCTGGCGCTGAGCCGGGATCTGGGGCGGCTGGTGCTGGTGATTAGCCAGCGGCTGGTGTAGCTGGTGACTGGCCAGCGACTGGTGCTGTTGAGCGGCCAGCGGCTGGTTCAGTTGGTGCCCCTGCAGCCGATGACTCGGTACTGGGGGCGGCTGGTGCAACATCTGCTGGCTGGGCGGCGGAGCCGGGTAGAAGAGCGGCTGCTGGCTCGTCTGCTGGCTCGTCTGCTGGCTCGGGGGCAGGGTCTGGTAGAACGCCTGCTCCGGAGGAGGGTGACACGGAGTGCACACCGTCTGAGGTTGAACCACAGTAGCCTGTGAACCGCTCCAGGTCTGCTGAGAAGCCGTCATCCATAGCCGGTGGCGTGGATCGGTCATCCCGGCTGCTTGGTCCACTGAGGTTAGCTCAGTTAGCTGGGGGACCCCCGGCGGCGGGGGCTTGGCCAGGAGCGACGCTGGACTGGTAGGAACGATGCCGCACTGACTAGTGTCCATGGGAGGTAGGTGTGGAGTTGCTGACTTTGGACAAGATCCCATCACATTCGCTTGACGAGGATCCACCGGTGACCCTTTAGGTGCGTTTGGAACCTGACGAGGATCCTTAGGAATGTTTGTATCCAGTGACATATTCTGACAGAGACCCGTCACATTCGCTTGGCGAGGATCCACAGGTGCCCGCTTGGGGTCATTTGGGACCTGGCGTGGGTCCCTGGGCGGCACGTGTGGATTCTGGGGGACCTGACGAGGATCCCTTGGCACGCGAGGGTCCAGGGGAGCTTGGCGAGGGTCTCTTGGCACGTGTGAATCCTGGGATGCTTGGCGAGGATCTCTTGGCGGCACGTGTGGATCTTGAGATGCCTGACGAGGGTCTCTTGGCCTCGCGTCTTGGGGCGCCTGGCAAAGATCCTTTGCAACGTGTGGATGCTGGGGCGCCTGAGGAGCGTCTCTTGGAACGTACTGATGCTGGGGCGCCTGACGAGGGTCCCTCGGCTTCTGAAGAGGGTCACAGATGGGCGCCATGGTCTGCCCCGCTGTGGACGCGGCGGATGGCGTCTCCGTCCTTTTGCCGTTATGCTGGTCCATCGCCTGCATCTGTCCCAGTGTCGGGCCCTTAGATGTCACGTTGCCGGAGCCTTCTTTACCACAGGTCTCTCTATCGTCCTTTCCCTCTCGGTCTGGAGCTGCGCGTTGTTCCGCTTCCTCTCCGGACCGCCGGCGCTGCTGCTGCTGCTGCTGCTCCCTCTGCTGCTGCGGCGGCGGTGGCGGCGTTCGCAGTCGGGGGTCGGAGCGGCTGGCCGCAGCCGGCGGTCTCTGCCGTAGCCGGGCGTAGTCTGTGCCGGAGGCGAGGACACCCGTCAGGCGCCACGGTAGGCGGACGCCGCCGGTCGCCACCGACGCGTCGATCTCGACACACGGCTGGAAGTGAACGGGTGCGAACGGCAGCGACAAGTCGTCAGTGCCCGGCCAGCGCGGCGTACCGGTCAGGGGCAGGTCTCGGTCTCCGAGGGGGAGGCATAGTGCGGGCAAAGGCCGGGGAGAGCCCTCGCTACAGAGGCCATTAGGGTGCAGCGGGCTGTGTCCAGCGCGCAGGCCCTCATCTCGGGAGGAAACGTCCATATCCTGGTTTACGAACTGGTCACTCGAACGAAGCTTGGGCTGCGTTTTGGCGACCCTCACTCTCCAGTCTTCGTCTTTTGAGCGCGAATCCTCGTCTCTTGGATACACATCCCCGCCACCGAAGCCGAACTTGTCTCGAGAGCGTAGATCTTCATCCTGCAGCCTGAGGTCTTCATCGTTCGCCTGCGGACGTTTCTCCGTCCAGTCGTTAGTCGTATCCATCTGACAGGAACTGGAATGGTCGCTGTCGGCCGTCCCTGAAGCTGCAGCATCCCCCGGCAGGGAGCGATGCTGGCCGATGTTTCGTGGGGAGCCCTGATGACCGCTGTAGTCGGTGTCCGTAGTCGGGCGCTGCTGGCCGCTGTAGTCGGTGTCCTGAGGCGGGCGGTGCTGAACGCTCGAGTCCGGATTCTGCGACGGGTGCTCACCCAGAGACCTGGCGATCACAGAGACGTGGTGAGAAGAGGATGCTCTGAGAGAATGGTCAATGGAACTATTTGAAACGGGAGACCCGCCTACTTAGTCTACACTCTACATCACGTATTGCTCAAGCGCAGTTTTTTCGATGTTATGTTGGACCGTTGATTAGAAACATACATTTCTATGAATAATGAAAGAGGATAAAAAAGGATCAGACCACATAGAAATCTCTACACATAATTACTAGTGTCTTGGTGCAGAGTTCGGTACCAGCACAAGATGGACAGCCCACCCACACGGCACGGCCCCCACCCACCTCCAGTCTTCTTCAGTAGTGCTGTTCTGAATAGCCTTCAACAGCTGGCTGATAGCCTCCACCGGGTCCATGGTGTCGTCATCAGCCGTGCCAGTGACGTCATCCGCCGTACCAGCGACGTCATCGGCCGCTGCGTCACTGCCGTCGTCACCGCTGGTGGGCGTGCCTTCCTCGCTGGTCGCCGGGGAGAACTTGGCCTCGATCGACTGCGTGGCGGTAATTGGGTGCAAATCACCTCTCGGGTTCACGCAATGAGCGGACCAGTGCAATTATGGCTTATAATAGATCGGAACGATCGATGAACTAAACGTATGAGTCATAAGTACTACCCCAGTGGGGATTCCCAAGGGTTTCCTTTTCGGATCCGGCACAAGCAACGGAAAACTAATGATCATTCTGCGATAACTGAAGTTCATTGATGCGGAATCATATCGCCTATGGGCAAAAAAGGTACCGTGATGGAGCATATATAACTCCATATGTACACTCGGGGGCAGATTGATGTTCCACCACTCCCTACCCATCGGGCCCCTATGGCTCAGCACTGGCTGCTGCCAGTGTTGCCTGCCCTCAGCACTGCTCAGCACTGCCTGCCAGTGCCAGTGCTGCCGGTGCTGCCGCTGGCAGCAGCCAGTGCTGAGCCATGGGAGCCCGATGGATAGGGAGTGGTGGAACATCAATCTGCCCTCGAGTGTACCAGATAAATAAACCAATTTACCACAAACATCTAAGGTAAAAATGGAAAACGTCTTATGACGTCAGCAGGGAAAGGAATCGGCTAATGACAGAAAGAACAGTCTTGGATTCAACAAAGCATGCGTGCGATTAAATCCATTCATTCCCCGTGGCTCTAAGCGGGACACCGTTCACAATATGTGCCGACCCCTCCCGTGCCTACCCTGCCGCCCTCAGCGATACCTACCTCCTCACTGATGCGTCTCAGGACGTCAGTAAGCGGCGGACCGTCCTCATCGCTCGAGTACCAGTGCTCGTCGGCCGGAGGCGCGTCGTCGTCGGTCGGCTGTGGCGTCGGCTGTCGGGAAAGGACATCGCACCAGTTACGTCCGGTATGGGACGGATGGAGACCAGTTGTGACACAGCCAGGCGGTACCCCGAGCAATCGAGCATAGTCATCATTTCTGGCTGAAGGTGTGTCGGGGACGGTTACGTTTAAAACTTCTGCTCCATGGCTAGATAATTCTTCGATGTTTCTTGCATTATTTCCGGCAAAAGGTTGGCGTTCGTGGGAAATTTATAGCACATTCACGATGTACGACATCGCAACCAGTAGCGACATTCTCATTTCTCAGCCATTCTCACCTCTCTGGACCCACTCAGCTGCTGCTGCTGTAGCCGCAGCTGCCGCAGCCGCCGGTCCACCGCCTGACCGAGCAGAACATCATCTGCTCCGGCCGCGCCTTCCACCGACACTCCTCCGTCCGCCGGGATCTGGTGCTGCTGCCCCAGCTGCCCCTCTCCCCGCTCCCCGTCCACCTCCATGGGCTCCGCCGGCTCGCACACCGTCACTACCCGACGGTCCCGCGGACGGCGACGCTCGCCGTGACGCCGTCGACGCCGTCGCTCCGTGCCCCGGCCGCCCCGCTCGCCGTCGCCTGCCTCCGTCGCTGTGTCGCGCCGTGACCGCGACTCGCTCGACCGTCGCTCACGATGCGGTGGTGTCGCGGAACGCTTATCGGTGGCTACCAAAGGAAGACAGGGGCAGGTGGAGAATAAGAGCAGGGCTACATAGAGGCAGGCGATCGGTTTAGAGGGAATAAAACGCTTGTTATATGTAAATGACGCGAATCAGGTTTGTAATGGTTAATTGGGAATGTGGATCGACAATACCACTATACTACGGTCAGCGATCCTTTATCAAACGACACAAATACACATTTTGCACTGGGTGATGATGAATGTGTGAATACAGTGACAAATCGCCATGTCTTTATGACTCGATGAAAGCCATTCACAATGATTCAAAGTCATTACAACGAAATCGTCCCCAAATCTGTGCAACAATGACAATCACGTTTAAGGAGCAACAAAGCACGATTATCGTCAGCGTATTTTCAAAAATTTCCGGCTGAAAAGGATCGTCATCCCGACAGACGCGCTGAACTTACCGATGTGCGCGTATCTGGTCCGCTCCAGGTTGGGGAACGTGAAGTCCGGCTCCAGGCCCTTGCGCCGCTGGGCGAGCGCCACATTGATGCGCCGCTGGGCCAGAGTGCGGTACATGCGCGGAAAGTCGCCCAGGATGTCCTCCGGCGCCGACTCGATGTGCTGTAGGTGCGCGAAATGGAGGCAAAACGTCAGTACAGAGCGGAGTAGGTGTGCGGAGAGTGGAGCTGAAGAAGATATACGAATGAATGGCCAAATGTGTAAAAATGCAAGTGTCAGCAAGGCCGTTCCGTCGCAAGTGTTTTTTACAACGTAATGAGCGACGGAATGGCCAAATGTTTTGGACTTTGGGTAGGGTGGGGTAATTTGAACATGTGGGGCAATTTGAACATAGTATGAATAACACAAAATTACGGAAAATCCATAAGTGGGATGACAATAAGACCATTGAGAGAAATTATCGTAACTAAAAGGGCTATCATATGAACGGGGTTTAAAGTTTCAGGGAATGAAGATGTTGACGCACAGTGTAAAAAATCAATTTCGCAAGGATAAACGCCTAACAACACGTCATTGCAACTTCATAGCAGCGCAAAATCTTGCATTGCTAGCGCCTAATACGCAACGGCTTTTGTTGTACAATGACCTTATCAGTGCCTTTAATCCAAGAAATTTGCTTTTAAACCCTGTTTTCAAAAATGGCAAAATAACTTTTAGCGTGGGGTAATTTGAACATAGTGTGAGAATTTCAATGAAGACAGGGATAGCTCCGAAAAAAAACAACGCTCCAAGTTTTTTTTGCCATTATTTTCGACCCAAAGCAGTAGCAGATAAGTGATGCCAGTTTTAGAAAATTTACGTCTAATATCCGTCTAATGTCCGGCATTTTCGTTAATTTTCCGTCCAAAAATGTTACAAGTCAACCATAGATTCATGTTATCTATGAGTCAACTATTTGTCCAAATATGTCCGAAAATTATGCAGCTATAAACACTCAAAACAGTCATTTATATTGCTTATCATGTAATTTTACCAGCCGAAAAGTGTTCATTATATTTAGAGCTTAACAAGCTTTCCATTCGCCAATCAATGCTACGCACGATTACCTACTTGATAAAAATGCTTAAGTGTGGCAGGCCATCGTCCAACGTTGTCCAGACTACTATACCTTTGTGCAATCAATTCCGAATTGGACATTATAAAGAATCGGAAATCCGAATGTCCAGGTTCCGATTGGCCCCACTATAACAGATGAAGTAAGGTTTGGTAGAGTTTTTATCGAACGGAGATTTTAGGCGTTCTGTTAATTGAAGAGAGGCGAATTCTGTCAACTGACCGGTGTGCAGCGTGCAGATATTGATACTCTGCAACTCTTATTTTTGTTGTTGTGTTTATTTTTCAAATGATGGTATGTTTAGAATTGCTCTGCCTATTCGTTTATGGGTCAAACAACATCGGCGCTGGCGAGACTATCGTTTTTATGGCAGGTAAAGGCAGTATGTTCAAATTACCCCACGGTGGGGCAATTTGAACACACCGTGACTTGGTGGAGAAGTGATGCTATGCTATTCAAGGTATGCTCGGCTCGTCCAAAAATGAGATTTGCATGGTGAAAGCAAGTGACACATGCGCTACTGAAACAGTTTTTCTTCATCCAGGGTTGAGCTGGAATTTGGTACAACGGAGAAGACGTAAAAATATGTTCAAATTACCCCACACTACCCTAGTGATTGAAAGAACTTGGCGACTACAGTAGAAGGTACGTACAAATACATGCTTCAGCAAGCAATGGTGCAAATAGGCAATGGTTCAAAGTCAAATGATGAATGATTTGTTACGAAAGATAGCCTAATCGAGAAGTGAAATAAATGCAACCGTAGAGCTCGTCCGTGGTGTTAATTATCTCTAGACGTAACGAAGTCATAAATATGAAGTAATAAGTGGTTTACCTTCAGCAAGATGGACCGGGTGACGTCTGTGAGAGGCTCGTGACTGAATTTGCACTCTGAGTCGGTCAAACACTGCGCTCCAGTGTGAAACAGTTTGCAGGGAAACGACTTGTGCAAGTAGGAGCAATGGTCGCGCTTGAAACAGCTCTCCCTGGCGTAAAATTTACATAACTCCATCTTCTGGTATGGTGGAGTAGCTTTGTGAGAGAACAGGCACTTCTTTCCCTGAAAGTAAATAGCACATGCTTACCTCTTAAGGACATGATATGAAGTTTGTTAATGTCATAAGTGAATGAGGACTTTACTCCACAATAAATCGTTCGGGTCAGAGGTTTTGAATTGTATTTACAAAGCCCGAACCCGAACCCGATTACGACTCGCTGACGAAGTTTTGTAAATGCAATTCGAAAGCTCCGACCCGAACGATTTCTTGTGGAGTAAAGTCCTCATTCACTTATTACACATGCTTACCTAGTAGTATGTCATAATCTCCCGCAAGAGGTTATGTTGCTCAGGGCAGTTAAAATGCAGTTGAGAAACAATAAGACAGGAGAGGAAAGAAGGTATTAGCATAAATCTGCAGTTAAGAAAAAGAAATGGACATGCATTAGAAAAAGAAGGTCGGGCGTGTTAACCAGTTTGCTAGAGCACTTCTAGTTATATCAGATGCGCCTACCTTGAAGCAGCTGCCTTGCATGAAGAAGCTGCAGATGGAGTCTGACTTGCGTTTGTGTTTGTCCAGGCGCCGTTTCTTGGGCCGGTGTCCGGTGGCGCCGTAGCCCCGCTGGTACTGCTGGTAGTATGTGTCGTAGTCCATTGTCACGACGGGGTCGTAGTCGGACCACTTCGGCCACTCGTACTGCACTGGCGAGGCACCGCGCACGTATACACTGGAGTCGTCGTCCAGCAGCTCGGGCGAGCAGGGCCGCTGCGCAGACACCGGCCGCGGGGGTCAGCGACAGAACACGGGTAACAAGGCAGACGGGTGACCTGCGTATACGGGATTCTGTTCTGACAGCTACCGCCACGGAACGTGAGAAATTAGCAAACGCCACGCGTGCGCCACACGTTCAACAGCGGACCCGATGACTCTGAAAATGACCACCCGTTCCGGGTGCTGCGGCTGTCGCCCCAGGCGGTAACTGGTCTGCGTTGGCCGTTGGGGTCACGTTCACCTGCGCCCCGGACAATTCACTGACGCCACGGAATATTTACCGGTGATCGGTCAAACATGGGTCATATAAGAAAAACAAACGTGACAATTTGATGAGGTACGGGACAACTGAAGAAACAAACTTATGTATGCTTATGGTATGTACTGGTATGTTTGGCGTAAATCGTACTCACCTTTTCTGCATGTGCTTCTTTGGAGCGCCTTTGCCGCTTTTTGTCACTTCCGGTCTTTCTTGTCACTTTATTTGGACTGGCATCACGGCTATCTCCTCCACTGATAGCTTCCAGTTCTTCCAGTGCGGGAATTACATGCTTGGCGACCTCCAAAAACTCCTCTTCGATCACAGCGTCGTCATTATCGGCCGCCGTTTCGACGCTGCCGTCCTCTCCACCTGCCTCCAGTTCTCCGTCCTCCAGCTCGCCCTCCTCCAGCGGCCCCTCGCCCTCAGTATCAGCGCCGCTCGCCGGACTGCGCCCCGGTCCATCAGCGTCCCCGGCAGGTGAGTCGCCGTCCAGACCAGACCACAGCACAGAGTCGTCCTCCCTGGAGCCGCCGTCTCCGCCCCGGTCGGTGCAGAGATCCTCCTCCTGCGGAGGCCGGACAGGGCTGGAGGGCAGCAGAGCGGCCCGGCCCTGCCACGGCCCGCTCTCGGCACAGCGCAGACCCCACTCGCCGCCGGCGCCGCCGTCGGCACAGCTTGGCTGCGACGATGGCCCGTTGGACATGTCGATCTCCAGTCTCTCGTCGTCAGAGTCCATCGCCGACAGACCCTGTCACAAGATGCAGACACAATAGGCATTCCTACATTGCTTAATTATGTCCAGGCACTACGAGTCAGCAGCATTTTAAATCCAGATTTTTCGTTTTCATGAAAAACCCTAGGCGATGTCTCTGTTTTTACAATAAATAACAAAAAAAGAAACTATTGATGAGACGGCTTAACTGATGAATTGATAAAAGGTAACGTCAAAAACAAAAGCTTCAAGAAACAATAAGATTCGGCAAATAGTCTCTTCGCCAAATTTGGCACAGCCTATGGGGTAACCTTTTTACATATGACCTGAAAATTTCAGGTCCGGATGACCTTGGGTCAGGTCACCAGGTCAGAGAAACCGGTACAAGGTCAAGGTCAAATTTCAATTTTCTTTTTGCACCTGTCCAACTCACAGTTTTGGACCGATTTCCTTCAAACTTTCAGGATGTGCTAAGTTCACCGAGTTGTATAACATATAGTTCGTTTTTTTTAGGTCACTGACCTGAGGTCAGTTAGAGGTCAGTACGTCGTAATGTTAAGCCTATGGGAAAATACTTAATTCGGAAAATACTAGAGATATCCGCTTAGTTCTATCACTTTTGTACTTTGAAACCACAGTAATTAACAGCAGGTCACTTGGTGCTCCTTTGTTTGGTGTACTTATCCATGGGTCAGGTCAAATGAGGTCAACTGAGGTCAAATGACGTTTTTGCCAATAACTTGGCACATAATGACGCTAGATCTTAACAAATGGTGTCATTGTGTTTCTGGTGATCAGCCAAATCGAATGATATGCGATATGATGCAATTTGGTCAACTTGAACTTAATTAATTAACTAAAGTTTACTTAAAAATTAAGAAAAACTCTTAAGTACACTTAAGCAAGCTAAAAAGTATATCATTCGACGCGCCTTGACGTGCTGAGTTCACTGGTGCCTTTCTTTTTGCTCTATCTTAATTAGATCAAAAGTTATAAGCGAAAAACTTTTGACCTGTTTTTAGCGAAATTTGTACATTTATACCCCCCAAACCCCCCTAAACCCTCGCATGTGTAGGGGGGGGGGGGTCGGATGGACCCCCCCCCATGGTTTTTCGCGAATAACTCGCGTAAAAAGCGGCCGATCGCGACGAAACTTTCAGTACCCTCGCATTGATCAATTTTTTACTGTATGCCTGGCCTATTCAAATACATTAGCCAGAGGGGTGTGGTAATAACTGGTGTAAGCAAATTGACCACGGTCAAAAATGCATTACCAGAATGCACTAAAGCCAACATTTTGGGATGGTCTCGTTCCTAAGTCGGCTAAGAGCTTCGGTCCAGAAAATAAATTTATCGTTGGCATACAGTAAAATACATACCAAACTCGGCCGGTGATAAATTTTCAAGACCTCAGTCCTTACTGATTTTTGAACTCGGCCTTCGGCCTCGTTCAAAAATCCAGTAAGGACCTCGGTCTTGAAAATTTATTTACACCGGCCTCGTTCAGTATTATATAACACCTACTCTGAAAATTTCATGACCCTGACCCAAATGACCTTTGACCTGTGACCTCTTTTCCGAGACCATGTTTGGCCGGAATCGCGATTTCGCGTATGTCGGCTCGCTCTAGCCGCGTGTTTGCAAGCTTTTCGTGGTTTCAAACGTTCAAACATGTGATTTGATGTTACTCCCGTGTGTGTCAAGGTCACCTGAAGGTCAGGTCAGGTCATTGACCTTTGGTGACCTCGGGTGACCTCGGTTCACTTTTTCGAGTTTTACATGTTTCTAGGCTAGTTTTTGGAGCTGAATTCGAATTTAGCCACCATTTGAACATTTACGAAGTAGTTTTGGTGACTTCGTAACATGTTACGAAGCTGTCAGAGGCGGTTGACACGTACTACGAATACCCGTCACGACGCCTACTGGTTGACCTGACCTGACCTGACCCGACCTGGTCTAAATGCTTCAAGACATCATTTGTGATCAAAACTAACACGATATTCGTGATCAGCACCCCGAAAAACCCCTTAGCAGCCACACTTTACGACTTTCTAACAGGTCCCGATTTTCCCGACTTTGGGTCATTGACCTGACCTGGAAGGTCAACCAATGACCTAGGACCTTAAAATTGGGTATCATCGGCTTCCTCTCGTCACGGGCAACACGCTCGTTTTTTCCGCGAAGCTCTAGCTCGATCAGGGGCCAAACGGCAAGGGGGGGGGTCCAACCGACCCCCCCCCCTACACATTAGAAGCTGGCAAACGCCGCACACATGCGAGGGTAAATATTGACCTAAAGCAACTAAATTTGCACAGGGGTGAGAACTCCAGGGGGCCCACCTACCTACTAAATTTGGTGTTTCTAGGTGCCATAGAAGCCAATCGCGAGGGGTGGACGTCGCATCGACCCCCCCCCCCCTGCCAGGCCGTGTTATGAAAAATGCCCTGCCAGGGCGAGGGTTAATGAGAACTAATTGGTCTTTCTAAGTAACGGTCAATGGTAGATCATTTGCGAGTAAAAAAGTAATTCATTAAAAAATCGGTCCATGGAAGACTGATGATCTTCGTTACCAAAAACATAACTGCCGTTTTCACGACAGTCGACAGGTTATCTGGTGATTTCCAAGACAACTCAAGTTATCCAAGTTTGTTCTATTTACTTTGCGTAGATTTACTCGTACTGCAACCCATTTAGGCTGTAAAACAAATGAAGGTAGATAAGGACGCCTGCAGGCGTTAGCATTCATCAGATACCATGTAAGCCTCTGTAGACGTTTCAGAGATCGCGTCTGAGCCCTTCTCTGCGTTGCAAGTAGACGTCATGTGCCTTCATGCCGGTCTCTCTTCGGATGATTTGTTTCATATGGAACCCGACTATTTGATGTTACATGTCGGCGTAATAAAGCCTTAATTCTTCGTGTTTCTCTGGTCAATTACCTGATAAAGTGACTCATCGTGCAGTATCCCCCAATTGATGTCAACGGGTTACCAGCGGTTGCATACGATCGACAAAGCCACCACGATAACGTAACGCACCAGATGTAAGGCCTGCAATGTAGGCCGATGCAACAGAAAACAACGTAAAAAAATAAATATAGGATAAAGACGGGCAAATCTGATAGTGACAATCAGGGTCCGCAGCAAACACCTAGCGGGTGATCTGAAAATAGTCATATGCAGTCTAGGCTAAGCTGAATATGATCACGAACACTTCAATAGAATATTCTTTACGGCCCATTCTCGCATGGCGTGGTGCCGTAAAACACTGGGGAGATTTCTTACTTAAAATATCCAAAGTCTTCGCTATATATAAAAGTTGGATACAGATTTCTTTTTGTATAAAAGCTTCAACAATCAGCAGTAAAGATAGACGACAAATAGACGACTTTCGAAATGCAGCCAATTCTGTAGAGACAATTTTTAGTGATGAGCGCGAGACTTTTCATCTCGAGTCTCTATACTAACAATACTTCTTGCTGGAGATAGCCAAGTAGATACATGAATTCAATCAACAAGAGATAACCCGGTATAAGAACATGAACATTACTTTTCCATAGGGTAAATGTATTATCTATGAATCCATGAAGCCGTAAGAACTAGAGGTGGCAATAGGTGAAAATTTTGGGAACCAGATTCGAACCAGATTCCCGACTGGACATTTCTGGAACCAGTCGGACCCAGTCTAAATTGGAATCGGAAGCAGTTGGACCCGCTCCCAAAAGTCAAATAATACAAACTATTTGTATAGGTATCATTAGTTGCATCACGTAAAACACCTTTTTCCCACCATTGGAATACTCATAAGCTACAATGTGCAAAGAAACATATAGGTACCGAGCAAATGTTTCTTTCCATTCACTTTATATTTTGCAATCATGTGTCGTGTGCAAGATGTATGGCTCATGGTAGCACCCGGTTGGACCCGTCAGAAAATATCCAGGAACCGGTCTCGACCCATGTGGGACGTGGGTCCACACTGCTTCTTTGGACTGGGTCCTCGGGTCCACATTTTGCCACCTCTAGTAAGAACCTAATGTCATTCAGTTGAGTCCGATCCGAGTCCGATAAGTCCTATCAGAGTTCGATGGGTCCGATCAACCCTCGTATTTATAGGGGTGGGATGTACCTCCCCTCCCTCCAGGGTTTTCGCAAATAACTCGCGAAAAGAGCGACCAGTCGCGACAACACATCACATTTAGTACCCTCGAGCTTATCCATTTTACACATACCCTGAAGACTTAATGACATTGAATCAAATGACCTTTGACCTGTGATCCTTTTCTCGAGATTTGGCCGTCAGGCCGGATTTGCGATTCGGCGATTGTCGGTGCACATTATCAGTGAGTTTCCAGACTTTTTATTGCAATCCAGATTACAAACGCACCCCCACTCCCCCCCCCAAGGTTTTCGCGAATGACGTAAAAACGGCGGCGCGTAGCGTCGCCATATTTGGCATACCCTCTGGGGCAACCTTTTGGCACCTTTCCTGTAAATTTCAGGTCTCTGTCATTTCAGGTCAGGTCACCAGGTCACAAAAACCCGTACAATGTCACTTGCCAGGGTAAAATTGGAGTAGGTATATCAGCGGGAAAGGAATCGCTGAGTTTATCGTTAATACTTAATAGCGTAAGAACCGTAAAATATAGGACCACCAAAGTTCAGACACAACTTAACCCGCGCCCTGGTGGGGTCTGTTTATAACGCGACCTGGTGGGGGGGGGCTATTTTTTGCCCCCCCCCTCGTATCTCCGAAACTACTGGACGGATCCACAAAATTCAAACGGCGTTCGAAAGGCCTGTCAAATTTGTCGATAGAAACCAAATTTCATTGACCTCGGGGTCACCGATGACGTCACAGGTCAGGTCAAAGATGAAATGTTTCACCGTTCACGGGTCTTCTAGACAATGCGCTATAACACCGAGGAAAACGCATTTTGTCGAGAATCAGCGGTAGGGCGTCAGTTGCCTAGTATGTAGATATGTTGCTATTAGAGGTCACTGGCAATACCAGGTCAGGTCACAGGTCAGGTCACCAAGGGTCACAGGTCAGGTCACATGAGCCCAACTTTACTAAGGTTGTGTGATACATGTTTGATGGCCAATTTTTCATTTCCAACTCAATGGTGTTGGTTATAAGACTATCAGGTACGGCTTAGGTCACTTTCTGGTGAAGTTCAGGTCAAGGTCAGGTCAAGGTCAGGCCAAAAAAGGTCAAATTTTAAAGTTGATAGCTTTGCATAAAATGGGTATTGATTCGATGCAGCTCGTCACGGGGAGTCTAATGGTGGTCTTTGTTTTGCGCTACGGGGTCTAGAATTGCTAAAAATTGAGTTTGAAAATTTGACGTCATCAATTTTGAAGTTTTTTTTGCTATAACTTCGCCAAAAAAAGAGGTATCAATCTCAAATTTGGTATGTGGGTGGAAAGCGGTAAGGACTATCACATATATTCCGGTTTTTGCGAAATTCGAAAAACTTTTTGGATTTTTCGATAATTATATCCAAAATATCTATTTTTTATTTTTGGGGGTCAAAATCCAAAAAAATTCAAAAATCCGAGATAGCAGTTTTGTAGCCCTGTCAAATCTACAGCTTTTATGTCTCTATCATTTTTCTGTATTTGCAAAGCTATAGGCCTGACAACTCTTCCCGCGAAACCCTTTTTTGGGTCGAAAACGGCAGAACATGACGTCACTCTGACGTCATTTCGGGCCAACCTATCATAGCCTTTGGAACAATTTTTGGTCACAATGTGTAAAATTGATGTCCGGGAGGGTACTGAAAGTTTGGTGACGATCGGCGCAGCGGTTCTGGAGATATATCGAAAAGTCTGGAGGGGGGGGGGGGGCAAAAAATAGCCCCCCCCACCAGGTCGCGGGTTAAGGCAGCCATTTGACACATGTATGAGTTTTGTGTTCCAGTAACCTCAGGTCAGGTCACCAGGTCACACAAACCAGTACATTGTCAAAATGACACTGAAAATACGCTGTTTTGTCAATGAAATCTAAAGTTGTTCATCGATTTGATTCAAACTGGCAGGGTATGCTAAGCTCACCGGGTTGTATACCTACCCTACATCCAGTTTTTTTCAAGTTCGGTTGACCTGAGGTCATCTGAAGGTCACGACAAATTTTATGAAAATGTCGTGTCCGAATAGCTCACATTGTAAAAGCATGCTCCCTTTCAACCTTTTTGTGTTATTTTAGCTCCAATAAGGATAAATTCGGTGTTTGCTTGCAGAAAAAAACTTAGGTGTCATCTGAGGTCAAATGAGGTCAATCAAACTACGTTTTTGCTAATACCTTCGCACACAATGAGGCTAGAGCTTCAAAAATAGTGTCATTGTGTTTCTTGTGATCAGCCGAATCGAATGACATGCGATATGAGGCAATTTTGTTAAGTTGAACGTAATTAATTGATTTAAGTTCACTTAAAAATAAGGAAAAATTCAAGTTCGCTTAAACTTGTAACAAAGCATACCATTCGATGCGCACAGACGTTCTGAGTTCACAGGTGCTTTTGTTTTAGCTCTATCTTAATTAGATCAAAAGTTATAAGCGAAAACTTTTGGCCTCTTTTAGCGATTTTTTTTTTTACACTTATTCCCCCTAACCCCCTAAATATTGACCTACGTCCTACAGCAACTACGTAAATTTGCACAGGGGCGAGATCTACGGGCCCACCTTCCCTGTAAATTTGGTGTTTTTAAGCGTCATAAGAGCCAATCGCCGGGGGGGGGTGTATCAACCCCACCTGGCCGTCCGCGTTATGAAAAAGGCCCTGGCCTGGCGAGGGTTAACATGTGAAATGAGGTTTGTTCCATGCATTATGGTGGGTGTCAAGGTCACTTGAAGGTCAGGTCAATGATATTGACCTTTGGAGACTTCGGGTGGCTTTTTTTCGAGTTTTAGATACTACTTTGTAAGGTATTTTTTTGTTGCCGAGTTCGAATTTGGGATCTGGAATATGGGATCATTTGAACATTTGAGGAGTTTTGGTGTCTGTGGAACATGTTACGAAGCACGAAGCAGTCAATGGTGGTTTCTGTGAAACATGTTACGAAGTACGAAGCAGTCAGTGGTGGTTCCCCTACAGCACGTAAGATATCGACGTTTGGTGGGAGGGTAGGGGCCAGGGGGCAAATCAGCCATAGGCAACACCGGCCACCTGCAGAGTTGTGTACTGGCCTTGGAGGGCGTCTTCCATGTAACAAGAACCATGTGACAAGAAACTGAGTTGACCGCCGAGCACTGATCAGTAGAACTGGAACCGAATACCGATGCACTGAGCAGTACAACCAACTCGGTCACCACTCCACGCTACCCTCGCCCCTCCCTTCCCCACACACATACCCGTAACCCACAGGGAAAGTGGAAACACAGCGGCATTGATGTTCGGCTGGTATGGTACAGCACATTTTCTGAAATGAGCGTGAAAACACATGAAAAGGGACACAAACATGTCACTGGTAAACAAAATCGCCACAAATAACAGTCAGTCTTGTTCTCAATTCTGGAAAAGGAAGGGCATCAGCATGCATCTGAATTCTGACTGAGTTCCTGAGCTGAACCCTGTGGGAGATTGGTCAATAGGCTCAATTTGGCCAAGCCGCAGTGCACATTCAGATATCGGTAGGTATCCGTTTCCTATTTACCATCCTCCATGCTGGATTCCTTGCTCCAAACTGCTCCAGCCTAGGACTGAAAAGTCACCCCACACGCAGTCAGCAGTCTTGCGGCCTCGTGACGAGCGTGGTGAGGAGAGCTGCGCGGCCACGCCACACACGTGGCGCTCGGCGCTGTAAGCAAAGACACAGACTGCAGCCTACGTGACTGCCTATTATTGCTGGTCTAAAACCATCGCTGAGTGCACATTGCACATTATTGTAAGCGAAGGAAAGATCCCCCAACCCCAACCCTTCACTCGAGAACTGCCATGCCACGCAAGCTGCCACGCGCCGCGTCTCAAGAGTTCAGTCAAGACGGACACAATCAGCTGATTTGTTTACAGTAAAGAAAAGATGAGCAAAGTCCTGTGGTGTAAAAAAAGCAATGTAAATGACCATGGTTATAATGGATCGTTTGAGAAATCCTAAATAAAATAATGGAATAAAAATATGTGATACATATAAAAAATCATTGTATTCCTAATCCCCCGTAAATCCCATGTCGCATTTTTTTTCTGGAAGACTTGATAAATTAGAGTGGCAACTTTTAGTGAAAATTTCAGACTCAAGGCGATGAGCCTTCGAATCACGTCCGATGATCCATTCGATCACCGATTAAAGTATCCACGAGAGCTACATCTTGAGCTAATGAACTGAGCAAACAGCGCCGTGTAGGTAGGATGTGTGTGAGTCTTTCAAGAGTTGTCAGCGAAAAAGACGAATTTCGCCGTCTCAAGGTTCCGCGAGTACTAATTTGCAGTTTTTCTCGCTCGATACTCAGCCATTCCTCAGAAAGCGTCCTTCCAGCATGAGCTTATAGTTGACTATCTAATCTAGTCACCCTAGCCACCCTACCATACCATTGCTTGGTGAGAGGCCTTTAACTGGTGGATCCAATGGAGCATCTAGGCCATATGACTCCCCGCCGTGTCGGATAATGACATCACCGTTTCCTACGCATAGGAAGCAGATAAGCCCATTTTGATTTGAAAGTTGGGTGAAAATTACACACCATACAGCAATGCTTGAGAAAGTAATGCTCGAGGATTTTTGGAATTTGTACGAACCTTTAGGGGGCATGCTTTGAGCATGCTCAACATCACATACCTGTAGCACGGCATTTGCCCGTACATTCACCATCGCTTTTGGCTGGTTCCGCCAGCGAATCATGGTAGCTGGTGCGCCTGTGTTATCCCCCGGGACGACACAGTGATTCCGTAGGTCCCATGCGCGTCGATCCATGCAACACCTTTCAGCCCAGCGATGTCTCCACACATTGTCCAGTGACGTTCAAACTCTCCATGTTTGTGATCGGTTGCCACCTCTCACACGATCTACTCATGAAATCCGTGGAATCCGTATAATTCGATAGGCTGAATATAGGATTACTGCACTAATATTCCGAAGCACAATCTGATACTGTATGTCCAGTTCACTGTTTCTTTCGTCGTCATCTCGCGAGCCCAGAGGACCGTGTTGACTTTCGAGATGAGTCTGTTAGCTCTCCATGATCCGACGCAACCACACCAATGCAGTCCGGTACTCGTGTATCGGCCATCGCCCAGCCACCCCGTCAAACTCTCGGCGTATCAACACGTTACTTTATTGACGCCTCATACGGCGCGCGTCGGCCGCCCGCTGCGCTGACCCGGCGCGTGCCGCCGGACAAAGTTCGGGCGCCGGCGGGACGCGAACCCTCGACCTCTCAGTCGCCGCGCGCGTGCCGCCGCAGTCGGTAGGACGGCGCCGCACCTGCCAGCGTCTGCCATTGCACATCTACATCCGGTCGGCGCGCGTGGCGCCCGCGCGCACATGTATAATATGGATCCCTCCGCCACACGGGTGCTCACAATATCGCTAATTATGCACGCGATTTATCAACAGAACTAAGAACCGCCTCTGGCAGCGTAAATCATCACTTCCCGTCGGCCAGGTCCGATTTCACACACCCCAAACAGGACCGCGCGAGAGCGCGCACGCCAGCACGCTTCTGATGAGAGGCCCGCGCCGCGCGGCCCGCCCGCCGCGGCCGCGCGCATCTTGAGCCACACCTATGATATAGCATGTGCGCGAGTCGAAAGGCTCGCCCACGTCCGCGCAGAAGCAAGCACCGCGCCGCTAAGCCTATATCAGCGACACAATCGCGTTAGTAGCACTGGGGATTTGCACGTGGCTATGCGTATATGCGTGTGTCCGTCCGTTTATCTCTCTCTGTCTCCTCCGGGGTGTGGGTATGCGGTGCAGCGTTCTTGTATGTATCTACATCACCGGTCTCGCGGTGGCAGCGCTGGCTGTGACCCGGTCCTCCAGCCGCGGCTCCTCAAATCTTGTTGACCTTTTCGCCAACGATGACGGGGTTGTTTTTGCGGATCTCGTGTTGGCCGTGCACGCGGTAGTCGAACGAGCAGTCGTGTTTGTCGCTGTAGCGGTGCAGCGAACAGAACAGGCCGTCACAGCGGCACGTGAATCCTGCCGGAAGGGGGGGGGGGGGGGCACGGGTCAGTCACAGTCACCGGCGGGTCAGCGGGCTCCACAGTCTAACGAGGCACGCGAGGACACCCCACACTGCACTCAGTGACTCACAGTACAGTAAACGGACGGCGCCGATCGCGTGGCTAGGGTGGGGTTATCCAGGGCACACGGGGTCATCAGAGTCAGACTTTCAGGTCCAATGGAGTCACGGAAGTCACACAGGGTCATCAGGATCACAGGGATCACAAGGGATTATCAGGGGTCACCCGGACTGGACGGTGAATGACGGGTCAGGCTGCACGGTGCATGACAGGTCACCTGGCTCATCTAGAGTCACAGATCGGTGAACAATGGGTAACCAGGCTCACCGGAGTGAATGGGACCACACGACAAGCAGTCACAGGGTCATACGGAGTCATGCGAAGTCAAGGGAATGGTACAGGATCAGACGTGGTTACTAGTCATGGGTGTCATACGGGATCAAACATCGGGACATAACGGAACACCGGGATCACACGAGGCCACAAAGGGCTGTAATGATCACAAGGAGTCAAACACTAAAATCCGGCGGGGTCAATGGGGTCCCGCGGGGTCAGCAGGTCCACGAGGGCCACCGGGCGACACTCTGGCGTGGTGCCAGCCGCCGGCGTCACCGACCGGCAGCGGCGGCGGCCCTCGTCAGCTGACGAAACAAACAGCGCCCACCGGCGCGCCGCCGGCCAGGGGTCAGAGGGAAGCGCCGGGCGGGCCGGCGGCCGGCGAGACATTCCATCCCGGGGGCCGACCGGGGAGTCGGTGCGTCACAGACGGGTGAGGCCGCGCCGATCGACAGGTGGCTCGCACGTGACGAGGAGGCGGCTATCGTCACATTCCGAAATAACGGCCCTAATGTGAGATCCGACACGGAGCTGGATTACACTTCACCGAACAGGCTCCCGGCCTGAACGGTAAATGGCCGGAGGCGTTACACTGGTTATATCTTGGAACAAAGACGTGCGGATCGATGGTCACGTGTAATCCTCACCGAACAAAACTGAGAACCGTGTCGGAAACGGCCGATGGAGGGATGGGAGGGGTCACAGAATACCAGGCCGGCACGCTCGTAATGAATCACAGGAGCGGCTAATGGTTCCAGCTACCGGACACCCGACCTCGAGTGTAGTGATGACACCGCCCCGAGCGGTGCGCCTCGGGTCGGACTGGTGACCGGCCACGGCGAGCACAGCGCTGCTGTGGTTTTAGTGTTGGACTGTGCCCTTTCGAACGTCTATTGAGACCATTTCAAGGCCGTGGGATGAGAGGACTAATGGGAGACATGTACTGAGTCGACCAATGACTGCTGTACTGCAACGATTGAGTCCATCCCGTTAAAACGACATACCATGGGTGACATGATTCCTATCCGCTCAAACGGCTGCCTCGTTGGGGGATAGGCTCTCACTCGCTAGTCTAGTGGGGTGACAGTTAGCCCGTAACAGGGAAGTATGATCAAGGATGCTGAAGGTTTAGTCCTGAGTATAACGAATTACATCCAACTCACAGCCGGCGACTGAGGTTGCTCCAACTGCAACGTGTACCGACACAGACATTTGTGACTTGTGAGCCGTTTTGGGACACGTCAGCAGGGAAAGGCCAGGGACCCCACACCATGCCCCTGCCTCTCCGCGGGTGACCAGGGGCATGGGGGGGGGGGAGAGGCACGCCCGCCGAATGGCGGGGTTTACCGTGCATGCTCGAATAACTTGGGCGATCACAATACCCTTCCCCATTCAGGATGATATGGCACCATGATACAGCGGTGATACAGCGGTAGAGGTACCGACTGTTCCACGAACACCAACAAAGGATACAGACGAGATGAACTAACAGGAAATGATTACACAATAAACTTCACCAGTGTGTTTGGCTCCTGACTCAGTGACTAACAAACAAACATGACTCAGCACTCGCACCTGTAGCTGATTATCACTAAAAACACGAATGTCCTACGCAGGAAGCCATCAAACACCGTACAACAACACAACTCCAGAAGACATCACAACGTTACACTTCCGCACCACCTGCCACCCAGTGGCCAAGAAGTACAGCGTGTCGGCACATTCACTTACCGGTGAGGCCGACCTTCTTCCTGCAGACGTCGCAGCGGCTCTTCTTCTTCTTGGCAGCCGGGTCAGCGGGCGAGGCGGCCGCAGAATCGAGGCCCGACTCTGCCTGTGTAGGGACCTGGTGGTGTGACACGAGAGGACACGGAGTCAGTGAGGGCAGCCCAGCGGATGCACGTCATGGGGGGAGGGGCACAGGAGGATACGAAGCATTTTGAAGCATGATCAAGATAGAGCATGACATAGTGTCAAGTCAGTGACAGACAGTGGCATAAAGCGAGTCACAACAATGGTAAATGCGCCATTGACCTCAGTTATTTCAGGTGACAGATCACGTGACAGGGCGGGGGGGGGGGGGCAGAAGGCTATAGGTTAACACGTAACTGCGCGGCAGGCGGTGTCACCACAAGCTGCTAGCTACGGTATGTCATCAGCCGGAACAACGAAGCCAACTTGCGTGCCTAGCTTAGCCATGTTTGGCTCTGCTCTTGTAAAAGAATATACCAAAACAGCATGGAAAACATACTGGACCGCTAAAAGCATCGCATTATTAGGTTGTGTAATGTTTAGCTAAAACTACATACCTCAGTGATAAGTGACAAAAGTGATACTGAACTGCGTCTCTAAAACTCAAGGCATATGAATCGCGCAGCCCACTGGTGGGCCCTTCACAAAGACAGTTCTCTGCCCGTCTCAGTGTTCGGCGTGCGTCTCACCTGTGCATCTGGCTGGGGCGAGGCGCTGGCGGCGGTGCTGGCCACGGCCGGCAGCACGGCCACCGTGGGCTGCGCCGTGCTGGTGCTACTGCTGGCCGCCAGCAGCGCGCTGGTCTCCTGCAGTACCTGGCTCAGCGGCGCGCCCGAGCCGGACGACTGGCCTGTGGACAGAGGGAGAGAGAGGTGTCATGGTGAGTAGCGCCCAAGCCGGACGACTGGCCTGTGGATAGGGGACAGGTGTCATGGTTGGCGCGCCAGGGCCGGACAACTGGCCTGCGGACGCATAGGGTCTGTTCCAGTCGCACTTCCTAACACCTCTAAACTCCTCCAAGAGTAAGCTAGAGGAGGTTGGAGCAGGTCCCTCCTTGGTTTTGTAGGGACTAGAGCTGCCACTGGAACAGGGAAGCAATCTTGGAGGAGTTTAGAGGTGTTAGGAAGTGCGACTGGAACAGACCCATAGAGAGAGGTGGCATGGTGAGCGGCGCCCGAGTCGGACGACTGGCCTGTGGATAGGGGAGAGGTGTCATGGTCGGCGCGCCCGGGCCGGACGACTGGCCTGTGGATAGGGGAGAGGTCTCATGGTTGGTGCGCTCGAGCCGGACGACTGGCCTGTGGATACAGAGAGAGGTGTCATTGTAAGCGGCGCCCGAGCCGGACGACTGACCTGTGGACAGGGGGACAGGTGTCATGGTTGGCGCGCCCGAGCCGGACGACTGGCCTGAGGAGAAGGGGGGGGGGGGGGGACAGGTGTCATGGTCGGTGCGCCCGAGCCGGACGACTGGCCTGAGGAGAGGGGGAGGGGTGGCATGGTCAGCGCGCCCGAGCCCGACGACTGGCCTGTGGATAGGGGAGAGGTGTCATGGGGACTGGGGAGGACTGACTGCACGGTGGCGCGAGTGATGATACATCCACAGAGAGACAGTTGTTATAGTGACAGACCGCCGGCAGTCAGACTGCTATACGGGGTCACACCACACATACGGCAGAAGGTAAGCGACTTGGGCGCACACAACAGTGGGCAAGTGATCTAAACGACATTCTGAGACACATAGACGGCGTCAACGACAGTCAGAAATCCACAAGATGGGGAAAGGATCTTCACATCTATCAAGGACAAAGGCCCAATCCAGGAAGATTCAGATGGTAGCTGTAGTAGCGGTACCCAAGTCGTGTAAGCCGCTTCAATCCTAAATGCACTTTAACTAGCTTCGGAGTTCTTGGATGTCTTTACTGATATGAATGTAGCTGAATGTCGTCCTGAGCCTCGATCTAAATGAAAATAAACGAAATAAATGATAAACCAGTGACGAAATCCCCTCTCCGTTATGTATCGGAGACCGGCCATGCAGCTCCCCGCTCGAGTAATCCACACCATCCCGCACGCCGCATCTCGCCGCCATACCGCTTCAGTTTGAGCCCACGCCGGACGTCCACGCCAACAAAAACGCACATTCCGCCGCGGTGCATTCACAATCAGCCGCGGACCCCTCGGGCCGGCCCAAATGGCAGGGGAGGAGGGCAGAACGGTGTGATGAATGGCACCAGCCATCCGGCTCCCCTCCGCCGGCTCTTGACGCCCCAACGCCGACCGGAGTGGAGTGGTCGGCGGGAGCGAGGCAGATCGCTGCATTCAGAGGCTGTGAGGACGAGAACAAACCAGCCAGCAACAGCCAGAACATGACACACGGAGGCATTGGCAAATGCAAACTATCAAGCCTACATAAAAATAAAATATGCCAATTATCAAACCGTTACTCTTATCACCCAATCATAACCTTCAACCGTGCTTTCAATCACCTCCCGGTCACTTTTCGTGTCCGCACTGCCCTCACGCCAAGGTCCCTTGTGTTTGAAGAACAGATAAAGGCACCAACCATTGCACGAACAAAGGCCAACGACCGTTTCTTCGCAAGGTAGCCAAGTCCAATGTGGTAACCATGGCAACGCTGCACGCGCCGCACAAAGCGCCTAGCTTCCGACCGAGCAATTCCAGCTCAGTGGGGAATGGGGAGGGGTAGATGAATGAAGCCAGCCCGGTCCAGTGTCTGGTGGCGGCCGACTGCGCAGCGGACAGACCCCCCCCCCCGCTCCGCCCTCCCCTCGCGCCGAGCCGCCCGACAGTGGGAGCTCGTGTTCCGTAACACAGGGCCACGGCAGACCCTCAGTGAGGCAATGACTGTGCACAGTGTAATGGTCTCCCCGCAACAGTACACCAGCGTGTCCTCTTACGGGAGCCTGTCGCCATACTGTGACGTCACATCGTCCATGTATGACGTAAGCGATCGCAGTGGACTCGGCCAGCTGCGCCCGGTCCCAAGCTGAACTCAGCAAAAACGGCGACAGGACCCGCAGCAGTTCACATTTCCTCAATAACAGCCAGTCAAGGACAGGGGCTGTTTTCACCGCAGGAAAATCGCCCGCAGTCCGCACCGACTGCGGTGCAGCTGATCAATTATTCTCACCCCTACCAAGATGACTCATCCCGAGAAATGGCATCAACCCGTAGTTTAGAACAATGTCGTCATCATAGTGGTTCTAACGATCTCAACAGGTATCCCAAGTTCCTTCGAGGCGGACCATCCTTTGTAACATGGCCGACCTTCTAGATCCGCGTCGTTCATTACACACGTACGGATGAAGCCGCTCGATCTGCCACTCAACGTGCCAAACATAATACGAACAATCACGTGGCCACACGTCGAGGTAATGACATTTCTCACGTGATGCAGCGTTTTGCCAATATCGCGGCGGCGCACTCGGGCGCCGACACGAGACGGTCGGCCGGTCAGAGTTCAGCAGGCGCCGCCAGCTTCATCGGCTGTTTACACAATCAGTCGCGCAGTAGTCGGGCCCTACCGCAGCCATCACGCCACACTCGCCGGGTGACGTCACGCGCCGTGTGTGACGTCACACCACACGCGCCGTCCGCTCTCCGCGCACGCACCGGGCGAGTGGCGACCCACATATGGCCGGCATCGAGAGCGTCACTGCCAGCGCACTGCGACCTTTACAAACAGAGCCGGTGGCCGCCAGTTGGACCACGGCCGCCGCGAGCGGCGCCAACTCACGGCGCCGTCGGAGCCTCTCGTCTGGCTGACGCGGCCCGCTAGCCCTCGGGGGCCTCCCGGCAGAGTGCGTGCCGCCTCCCGGGAGAGTGCGCGCCGCCCTCTCTCCCCAGAGGTCTACGCACGAACCCACGAGCGAGCGAGCGAGCGGGCGGCCGGGAGGCTACCGATTTCACAACGCCCAGTCAAGGTCGGGGTAAGGCGGGCGCTGAGCGAGGCAAGGCCGGCAGACGCGGCACCGACCCACCGGCCGACACGCAGAGGAACAATGGCCGGCCGCCGAGCGGTGTCGCACCGGCCGCTGCCCCCCCCCCCCAGGGAGGAGAGGGGGAGGCGACACGTGCCGAGCTGAGCAGCCCGGGCAGCGGTGGCGGAGCAATGACCTTGTCCTGACAGCTGTTCGGAGGGAAGAGGCGAGAAACCGGAAACCTCAGCCTTCACTTTGTGCCGACCTCGCTGGTGTTCTATTCCACACGCCGGCGGATCTTTCTTTACAATGTAACCAAGAAAAACGTCTTATTTATCGTTGTCACTGAACACACGCAGATCAGTAAGTTAGTTGAAAAGAGGTTGAAAGGGGATTGACTGACTAGGATCCTGCCTGTTCACACAATAGACAAAGAAGACACAAGAAACAATCACAAGTACACATTGTCCTAGCCATGTGGAATCGTTAAAAAAACGCTCTGTCATACACACATACAGTACGCACGGTACAAAGAGCTCAAAGAACTTCGACACACATGAGTGGAGAGCAGCTGATAACATCCACGGGAAAAGCGGACACTCATATCCGTCCCAGGGCACCTGGCCACCGCAGATGCGCCAGCCAGTGGTGGCACCGGGACTGCGGCAGCTGCACTTACCCTGCTGCGCCTTATCCGCCTGGTTCTTGGCGATGTCCTTGTGGCACTTGGAGCAGAGTCCGTCGAAGGACGGGCTGCCGTAGAAGCCGCAGCCGTTGCCGCACAGCTGCGGTGCCGAGTGCATCTGGTTCTGCTCCTGGTCCATGGCTGTGGCTCGCGCCGGCCGGTGGCCTCTCTCTCTGAGGGTCCGCGCGCCGCCTCTCCGGGCCCGCTCAGACGCGCTGCTGCTGCTGCTGCTGCTGGTGCTGCTGCTGGTGCTGGTTACTGGAGCACAGGCCGCCACTGGCGAGGCCGCTGACGCGGTCGCCGGTGCGCCGCTGCAACACCCAGAACACAAACTGTTAGAATGTAGGCATGTGAACACTACCCAGCAGTGCGGCTCCATCGGCTGCACCATTTTGATAAGTCCAGCATGGCTGTGACTCTCAAGTCAAAACCCAGCCTGGCATTGACTGTCTGCAATGAGTAAGAGCTTTTAGCTGTCAAGGATGATGATAAAATGAAAGTAGAACTACAAATGTGTAATCAGATCTATTGATAATCACTGAGAGGAGACAGATAATAAGCTTCAAAAAGTCTTTTCTACCTGCCCTACCATCACATCTGAGGTCCACTGGATGCTTTAGCAGATGTAGAGGGAGGAAAAATATTTAGTCAGTTTTACCAATGCATAGGCACATTCCTATATTGCAGACATTGGCTAGTTGGAACAACTTGCATAATGCTCCTGATGGTAGTTCCTTGCCTCCCTAATGCTGACACACCTTTAGGTATAACATTCATTGGGTACTGCAGTTTTAGGTCACACTTTTGTATCTCCTAACTTCAGACAAGATCAGAAATTTCTTATGCATGATGATAACTGACAGGAAGGTACCTGTCAGTCCTTTCAAAATGGAAAATCCTATGATTTGCAGTGGAGGAATAGCATCATTATAGCAGTTTTTGGCCAAAGTAAAGAGAAGACACCTTAAGACAGCATCAGCTAACTACCCTGAAAAGTGAAATATGATAACAATGCCAGGATCAGGATCAGGATAGGTTTACACCAAAGCAGCAGTACACCACTAGGCAGCATCATTTGAGATGAGCTTCACCATCCAGCTAGTGGATTATAGGAACCAGTTAATTATGTGATTCTCAAACAATGGAGATGCTTACAACAGATGGGTCTGCTATAGAAGCTGTCAACAACACCTGTGAAGAACTGCAGGAATTGAAAAATAAAACATAAAAGGAAAGACACCTCCTTCTTACCCTGAAAAGGAACACAACACATCAATATACAATATTTTTACACAACATATTTATGAATTACACTCAACTACCCACAAAGTCGGGTAAGGTTAGGTTGCATTAGGTAAGGTAAGGTAGGTAAGGTATGGTATGGTATGGTAAGGCAAGGGTGAGTTAGGTTAGGTTATGTTTTAGCATTTCTGCTTTTAATGCACCTGTTTTTAGTGGTAAATGATATGCATGGACACAGATAACAGTAGTACTGGATTGGAAACAGAATATTGGCAGTTGCAGTAAGAGGCCGAATGTTTTTATGCGACGGCGCCAAAATGAGATTCTCGCGTGCTGCTGGGTGGATAATTTGTATGTTGTGTATTGCACGAAATCGTCTTTTTTGCGTTTTGTCGTTTACGTTTAAAATCGAAGCATACCAAAGTTACTTTCATTTGCTTAAAAATTAAAGTATTTCACTTTTAATTTGATCATTTAGACGGCACAATGCGTGGTGTTCTTTTGAAAAAATTGTGGTGCAAAGCCTTACATACGTATAGGTACATCAACAATGGAGGAGGAGAATGAGCGGTAAAAACCTGCCGTTCTGGCTACAACCCAACGAACCAAGAGGAACAAAAGATTATAACAGGAGATGTCTCACATGCCACCTATTCGCTTTTCTCACCGATACTCCGGGTCACTGGTCACGTTTCAGCCCCGCCGAAGCCTCCGCCCGAATGGCACCATCACAGCAGGAGTGACAGCAGGATGGTGCTCTTGTCATCCAGGAGCTAGTGGCCGCGGTGGCGAAATCCACTGAAATGGAGGACCTGAATGACAGCGCCAAGACCTCCCTGGGACACAGCTCCGGCGCCTTGGCACGCTCGGCTCTGCGCTCGGCCACCAGGCGTAACAAGTACGGTGCCTCCGCCAGCCTGCTGATCTATCATGGGGCTACGCCGCTGGAGGTACGACTGGAGAAAGACGAGGAAGACATCGACCTCACCGTGAGGATCTGCCAGATTTGGAGGCAACTGCCGAAGATGGAAGCTAACAGGAACCAGCTGCTGGTCTGCGATCAACCAAGAAGTGACGCAGAAGTGACGAAGATAGTCGTAAACCGAGATGTCGAACTGACCGGAAGTCGTTTGCAATGATAGCCACGACGTCCTTAGGAGCCTCCTTCCAGAGATGTATGCGACGGTTTTCAATCTATTTGCTGGAAAGTGTGGAAACGTGGTAACTGATGTGGAAAACTGATGCTGTGGTAACTGATGTGGAAAGTGTGGAAAACGTGGTAAGTGAGACAGACACTCAAGACAGTGCTGTCCGTCGAAAGTCAGGAAGCAGACACCCCAGCCACTGGTGCAACCCGATCGAGGAGCGACAAGAGGCCAAAGCTCAGCAGGGTTAAGAAGATGTAAGGCGGGGAAGTAAGGTCGCTGATGAAATTGGGAGGGCAGGCGAAGCGAAGTGACACTTGAAGGGGTGCTTTGTGACGTTGGTTTGAATCGTGACGTTTGGATGGTTCGTTGTGACAGGACTGGTATCGATTAGCATGTAAATAAAGAGATCAAACTCCCATGTATGCACAAGTACTTTTTGTGGATGAGAGTGAGAAATCATTATAATCAAATCAGTGGCATACGTTCCCTCACCACGGTGAGGAAAGTGTAACCAGCAACGTTTAGTAAAATAAGTTGTCATTATGCAAAAATGCAGCAATAAACACGAGCACGGCTAGTCGATTGCTTCTTTATAAGTTTCATTCACATTAACCAATATTTTTTTTGTTGCCTGTGAGAGGAGATATCGAAATATGGGCACGAAATATTCGGTTCTGTTTTCGGCCTCTTACTGCAGCCACCGGAATCCTGTTTCCAATCCAGTACTACTGTTATCTGTGGCATGGACAATTTTCCAAATGGTTTGTGACAATATGGTCTGCTATTATCTAATTTTTAGCACGATTTAGCAAAAGGTGATTCACATTTCACACCAATCGGTGGGAAACTCAAATCATCAAGGGAAAATCAAAATGTATTAAGACATGGTTAAATCATCAAAATTCAACAATTACAATAGGCCAAAACAAAGTACACAGCACAACTTAACTGCCATGAGGAAAACAGTGTATATGAGAAACATTAGAACCATTTTAGCTGTAAATTTAGATAGGTTTCGCAAACAATACATTGTTGGGACAAAGAGCTGATATTTGAAGGTCACTCAGGTCTACATGAACACCTCATTGTTCTGTTTTTTTTTTTTTAATAGTCAGTTCATTCATCTTAAACAGTACCTGCAACAGACCATAGTGCCAGTATTCAAGATCATTTGAAGTTAGTTACAGTCGACAGGAAAAATGTGCAATACAGCCAGAAAACAGGACTGAGGAACATGGCCGTCGCTTACCTGGCACTGTGGACGATTATAGACGTAGGACGGAGAAAACAGCCGTCACCGACTTCTGAGAACAAATTGAGGCAGCATGGAATTTCGCATGAGCGTTGCCGATGTCAAGTGAACATTAAAACAATTTACCTATCAGCCTAGCAGCTTTCACCGTTTCGCCAGAGGCAGTACACACACACTTCCTCTCTCGCATACCACAGCTTCACTGATGAGATCCCACAAATGACGAAAGAGATGTAACGCAAGTACCAGTGCTGGCACTCTCTTGAAGTACTTGCGTACTCCTTTGCCTTTCCAGAAGTTTAAATTTCACAAACTTGGCACCAAATTCACAATTTTTTAGATCGACAGAATTAGAAATTTTGTTTTAAAGCTCGTTATAAGATTTATATACCAGCGGTCAACGAACATCATAGAAATAAATGAAGCTCTTAGTACTTGAGCGAGCGAACAGCTGATAAATGGAAATGAGTAGCCAGGAATATTGTCCATCACTATGCTAACAAGTAAACAAAGGCAGATGTAGCGCAGCATACAATTATATATACGTATTGCATGTGGTTATATACAGCCATGGATGAGAGGTAATCTCTCATCCATGATACAGCTCTGATGCCATTTGCATGGGCGGCGCCACCGTGGGGTACGTGGGGTACTAGTACCCCACAGTCATTTGACTGTGGGGTACTGCATATACCCAGTACCCCACAGTCAGGAGCCCAGTCTGAACTTTTTCAAACACTTTTTCGTAGTCGTGCAATGGCCCTCTAAAACCATTAAATATGTTTTAGCAGTGGTCAAATGACTAATGCCAACAAAGGGCCAATATTGACAGATTATAACGGTCCCCTGCAGATCGGTAGGGCCCTTTGAAGGCTGACAGAGGGCCCTCTTGAGATCAGCAGTGCCATCTAAAAGCCATCTGAGGGCCCTCTGTAGATCGGTAGGGCCCTCTAAAGACAGACAGAGGACCCTTTCAGATCAACAGATTGTTTACGTCGATCAGAGGGCCATACATTTAAGCGGCGTCTTCCGAAAACCGGTAGAAGGCCCTTTGTTGATCGGCAGATCACTCTTAAGACGGACAGAAGGACTTTTTTAGATCAACAGGGATTTCAATAGCTCAGCGGGCTCCTACCTGGCGCTCAGAGAACCCTCCCACGCGCTGTCAAGGGGCCCTGTCATGGCTTAGAGGGCTCCGTCAAACAATCAGGGGCTCCGTCGTGTACGTATAGGTCTTCTGTAGCTCAGAGGGGCCCCGTCAAACGTTCAGGGGCCCTTTATGCGTTCAAAGGGCCCTTCTGTCGCTTAGGGAGCCCTGCACAACGTTCAGGGGTCCTTTATATGATCTGATAGTCTTATGTAGCTCAGAGGGCCCCGTCACGCGATCAGGGGCCCTTAATGCGCTTAGAGAGCTCTGTCGTGTACTCAGAGGGCATTTATGTAGCCTAGATAGAGGGCCCCCGTCAAGCGATCAGGGACCCTTCTCATGTGTTCAGAAGGCCCCCGTCAAGGAATCAGGGGCCCCTTCATGCGTTTAAAGGGTCCTCTCGTGTATTCAGGGCTTTTCTGTAGCTCTAGGGCCCTCGTCAAGCGTTCAGAGGCCCTTTAAGCGCTGGGGGCCTTTCTGTCGCTCAGAGAGCCCTGTCAGGCGTTCAGGGGCCCTTTATATGCTCAGAGAGTTTTCTTGTAGCTCAGAGGGCCCCGTCACGCGCGATCAGGGGCCTCTTCATGCGCTTAGAGGGCTCTGTCATGTACTCATAGGGCCTTTTTGTGGCTTAGAGGGCCCCGTCAAGCAACCAGGGACCCGTCAAGCGATCAGGGGCCCTGTCAAGTGATCAGGGGGCCCCTTCATGCACTTATAGGACTCTGTTGTGTATTCAGGCCCATTCTTAGCTCAGAGGGGCCCCGTCGAGCGTACTTTATGCACTCAGAGGGCCCTCATGAAGGGATCATGGGCCTATTCATACGCTCAGAGGGCCTTGCATATTCAAAGGGCCTTTCTGTAGCTCAGAGGGACCCAGTCAAGTGTTCAGGGGACTTCATGTGTTCAGACTAGGCCCTTTCTAGGCAAAGGCAAAGAGGGCCCCGTCAAGCGTTCAGGGGGCCCTTCAAGCGCTCAGAGAGCCTTTCTGTAGCTTAGAGGGTCTTCATGTAGCTCAGAGTGCCCTGGTCAAGCGATCATGGGGCTCGTTTACTGCATCTGAAGGGCCCATCGGACGTCAATAGAATAAAATAACCCTCAAACATATAGTGGGCGAAATCCGGACTAAAACATGGGTGTATATGTGGGTCCACGCCCCCCGATTCGGAATACCCCTCCCCTGAAGATTTTCTGAACCCTCATCTGTACCGTACTAAGTAATAACCCGCGCGGCCGCGCCCCGCTGGGGTTCTGGATTTCCACGCCCTGCTGGGGCGTGTTTGACCCCCCTCTAGCTCGGCCCCTGGGCCACGTAGCGACATGCGGTAAGCGGCATTCTAAAGAACGTCAAAAGCGATGATGAAAATACTTCAGTCATTTTTTAGGTCAGAGGCCAGTTTTACCAACAGAAAAATAGCAGCCCGGCGCAATTTTTCTGTCAAAAACCAGCCGACGAGTTTCACCAACCAGGCGAAAAAATATCCGCCGGTGTGAAAAAATATCAGCCAGAAAAATAGCCAACGAGTTTCACCAACGGCAAATGCGGCATTAATGGAGTGTTTATCTGCGCCATTATATGTAGAAAAACAGCCCAAAAAAATAGACAGGCGACCCCGTCTATTTTTTTGATGTCGTGTGGGGATAATTGGCCTCATTTGTTACTAATTATCGTGATTTGCGCTTCTCAGTTGATATAATAATTTAGTATCATTCATGGCCAATTTGTAAAGCATCTGGGCTTCAAGATTAGAAGAGGAATACTGATGATATTGCGTAAAGAAAGAGCCTTTGTCACCAGGCAGGACCAAAAGGAACCAACAAGACGGGTGTTTGGTGTTGTGGTGTTAGTTTTTTTCGTTTTATATTATCTTTTTGCTACCAGCACCCAACAGCAAGATGATAGCGCATTAACTAGTGGTCAGCTTACAAGTTCATTGCTCGCACGGAAGTGGAAAATAATGATGGAAGGTCATTTTCGAAAATCGAAGGTGATTGAAGAAATGCTGGAAGGAGAGGCAGAGAGGGTAGGCTCATTGGACTCAAGATTTTAAATAAATATGTCACTGTTTTCACATATTCTTCTACATTTGACATTGCAAGGTGCCAGCTACTGATACCACTACTACTTTTGTGTGGAACTTACTCGAGCTGTGCGGCATGGTGCATTGACATTGCTAAGACCAAAATGGCAAGATTTTCAAGATATAATAATTCAAGAAAGTAATTCAAGATAATTCAACTCAAGATAGAATAAATTTAAAAAAGAAATTGAATAGCATGAAAGAAATGTATAAAGGCCTGTTTTTTAAGCAAAACGTGCAAAGTTTGCATGGTTGCGAACCCGAACAAACTTGCTGAATGCTCTCATAAGATTGTGCCACTGAACTCAGCAAGTCATGCTGCCAATATTGAAGGAAAAGAAAATAATAGTAATGTTGTAAAATGTAAATGAATCCATAACTGATGTGTGTGCAGTGTGCACTGTGCTGATATTGAATGCATGTGTATCTTGCATGCATGAGTCATGCAGGGATCATGTTAAAACTGGCTGTAAGTATTGTGAGTTAGTTTTGCTAAATTGTGGAGGCACCAGGCAAATTGCGGTCAAAATGTTATTTGTTCACCTCAGCGCTGAAATTTCTGCACACAGAGTTTTCAGATCATGCGCCGAAATGTTCTTATTGTTCATGCAGCCCGTCCGTTACGCTGGTCATGTTGACAGTGACAAGGATTTTTTCCCAGTCTCATGTTGAAATACAATAATAGTTCACTTAGCTTGATTTTAGCTTATGTTTTTCATGCCAGTTCCTAGAATAAGGCAGCCAATATTTTCTGTCATGTGAGAAATAAAATGACAATATGCACAATTGTGGGCTGTGGCATGTTGTGATGTTTTTCCTTGTTTATTGCTGAGGTTTTTCCAGTCTCTGCTGCAAAAACGGTGGTGAATCCACCGTCGTCCGACGGTTTCGATGACGCCAATCATCGGCGAGTGTTGCTGTGATGGCCGACCTGACTGAGCGCACAGCGGCAGCCGCCGTCGCCAATAACGACAGTGAGGACACCTCCGAGTCGGACGGAGACGCCGCCGCGGACGACTTCACCGTGCTGGACGAGGTGGAGCGCTCGAGCCGACAGGCCGTGCACCGCGTGCGCTGCCCGACTGGCTGGCGCACCCGCAGCCGATTGGCGACCGGCGGCCGGCGCCGGCCAATCTGCCGGCGCTCTGCCCCGAGCTGCGCGCCCGGCTGGCCGCCGAGGGCATCGAACAGGTGTTCCTGGTGCAGGTGACGGTGCTGCCCGAGTTGCTGGCGGCCGCAGAGTCGCCGCTGCCACCGGCCGACCTCTGCGTCTCGGCGCCGGCCGGCCGCGGTAAGACGCTTCCGTTCGTGCTGCCGCTGGTGCAGGCGCGGCGCCGCGGTGCGCCGGCCGCCGGGTGCGCGCGCTAGCTGTGCTATCCACACAGGCGCTGCCCGCTCAGGTGCCCGCCGTGTTCCGCCAGTACGACGCCGACACGCCGCTCTGCGTCCGGCTGCTGGGTGGAGACGAAGTGGCACGAGGGGGGGGGGGGCACCAACTGGTGGCGGTGGGGCCGCGCGGCCCGGTCTCCCTGGCTGATCGTGGTGAGCACTCCTGGCTGGCTGATGGATCACATACCCAGCGCCGAGGGCTTCTCGCTAGCGCACCTGCGCTACCTGGTGATCGACGAAGCCGACCGGGTGATCGAGATGGCCGAGACGGGCTGGCTGAAAGCGGTGGAGCGGGTGGCGGCAGCCACGGCCCGCCGCCCTGCATCGCCGGCCGGCTGACGGCCGCCGCCGTCTGCGCGCCTCACCTGCCGCTGCAGAAGCTGCCGTTCTTGGCTACCCTGTCACAGAACCCGGAGGCCGGAGAAGCTGGAGCGAATGTCGCTGTTCCAGCCGCGACTGCTGGTGGCCGGCACGGCCGGCCGCCGTCGCACTGCCCGGTCAGTTCGTCGGCAGGTTCACCACGCCGGCCGAGCTGAGCGAGTCGTTCAACGTGGTGGCGCCGCAGCCGCTGAAGCCGCTGCTGATGCACAATTTGCTCCGACAGCCCGACTGGCGGCGCTCGCTC